GTAGAAAAAGGAATAAATATAGTGATAATTTTTTGGTTTAATAATATAACATTTTATAAAGATAATAATTAAGTATTCTGTTAGAACTCAATGTTTATCCTAATTATATTTTAGATTTCTATATTTAAAATGAGATGTTTATCATATATTTGATTGTGTTTATCTGCAGTTAGTTACACGAATTCAGATATGTAGCTTTAATAAGTTGTACCTATGCACAATTTACTTGTAATTTTGAGTTTTAAATAATATGCATTAATAAATAGTACTTTGCGCATAAAAAATGATTTTTAAGAGTTTTTGTCAACTGATTTATAATATATAATATATATTTTTATATATAATTTAATTTAAGTTTAATAATAAAATAATTTATTTTTGGTTTAATATTATAAATTTTATAAAGATAATAATTAAGCATTCTATTAGAATTTAATAATTATACGAATTATATTTTAGAATTTTTATATTTAAAATGAGATGTTTATCCTATATTTGATTGTTTTTATCTGCAGTTAGTTACACGAATTCAGATATGGGATGAATTTGGATAGGGATGAAATCGTTTAGGGATGAACGAGTTTAAGTGTTTTTAAGAATTTTAGCCAAATGTTTTATAAGATAGTATAGATATGATAACTTATCTAATTAATTCAATGCTTAAACAATAAGTAAATTATAGATATGATATGAATCGATAATCTTAACAAGTCGAATACTACCAAATTTTGACATATTGCAGATTTTATATTATAAAATAAATTATGTTTTAAGTATATTTATTTTTTATAACTTATTAAAAAACTAGAATGATACTCGCGCAATGCAATGAGATACATTTTTCTTGTTTCGTTTTATATTTTGTCTATGTTGATGTAATATGATTTATGTGGCGTTGAGAAATATGATGTTTTTACTTTTGAATAAAAAATTAAATTTTGAAAAAAGATATCAATATTGATATCAAATTAGCTATTTAAAAGTTCTCGGTTTTTTGTATAATTTCTTTATTTCGATTTTTTATTATAATTTAATTTAGTTCAAATAGTGAAATAATTTATTTTTGGTTTAACAATCAAATTTTTATAACGATAATGATTTTGTTAGAACTTAATGATTATCTTAATTATAATTTAGATTTTTTATATTTAAAATGAAATGTTTATCTTGTATTTCACTATGTCTATCTGCAGTTAATTACACGAATTCAAACATGAGGCTTTCATAAGTTGTTTTTACGCACAGTTTATTTGTACTTCATGTATAAAAATGATTTTTAAGAGTTTTTGTCAAATACTCTATAATATAATATAGATATAGATATACAACTAACCAATTGTATGTGGACAAAATGAATATGCCCCTTGAACAAGTTGCATTTTTCATGATGTAGGAGACTAGTTGACATTTTGTAAAACCTCACCAACAACAAAAATAACAATATAACGTGGGTGCTACTCATACCTTACATATATATATATATATATATATATATATATATACACATATATATATATATACACACATGTATATGTATATATGATTTAAATCAAGTGTGTATGTTCAAAGCAATGGCATTAAGCACTCGTTTTCTTGTTTTTATACTTGGGTTTTCTTTGCTTGTTTCCACATTTGATGCCATTCCAATCTCAAGTACTCAAACTCGAATTTTCCTCTTGTTTTTAATTTACAGTTGATCGTGTATACGTGTTTTAATAACCAACTAAAAACACATAACACACGTGCACGTAGTCATCGGTTTGAAACTTTGAATGTAGTGGGATCAAAAGCATCGTGAATATTTATAAGTTATAGTAACTAACAAGAGTATGTTTACGTTTGTGCTTTCAGGAATCAGGAATCTTATTAGTGAAGAACATTCACCTGATGTTTCAGGCAATATCCACTCGGTAATTAACGTGTTAACGTATATCTAATCATGATCATACTTCAGTCGAAAGTTACGAGTTCAAATTCCTCTTTACATTTTATACATTTTGAGGGTTTTGAGAGTCTTTAATTTCAGTTTCTTTTCTAAATAATATCAGGGGAGCTTGGAAGACAGTTGGGATGAAAGTATTGTATCAAGAAGAATGGATTTGACAACAAATGATTATCAAGGATCGGGTGCAAACGATCGTCACACGCCTAGTCCGTAACAAGGGACGTGATATGTGATATGCAAGTAATTTAACGTTAACGGTTTCTGAAATAAGAACAGTTGGGTATTGTAAATTGATTATACAACAACTTTATGTTAACTGGATGCATGAGGTTCTGAACGTAAGCATCAGTTTGCCGGTTTGAAGTGTGAAAAATTAAATGTATTACTACAATGTGATTTATCGGTCTCAGTTCTGACCTTAATGTAGTATACATATTCTTCATTTCAAAATTTAGATTCTTTTATTAATTTTTGTCGTCATATTTAATTGATTATGCTAAATGGGAACATATAAACATAGCTTGGCTTCAAATGTCAAAAGTATCAGGAGGTCCCAGATTCAAATCCAATGAGGAATAAAAATCCCCTTGTGGCCACGGAGGTTCAAATGCGGTGACTCTGGGCCATCTGCAAAGCAGGTGGTCGCCATGGGTACAATATTTATGATACGTAAATGTATACAAGTGCAACAATCATGCATGGGTACAATGGCATGGCATGATGGTGTTGTGGATGTTGGGTTTTTTTAGGGGTGAAGGCTGACCGAGGACAGGGTGCTCGGACGTCAGTGATGACAGTAAGCAGGATGAGGGTGCAAATTTTACGAAACAAGTCTTGATATGTTATGGATCTTGATTCTTCGAATACTTGAAGTTTGCAATTTATTTTTGTACGATGGAATTGTTAGAATACAAATAACATCGAGTTCTCGTCTGTAAATCATCAAAAAATGAATGAGCAACTTACCTTAATTAATGGTTGAATATGTATGTTGTAACTAAGGGTGCACAAAGACTCAACCAATTCAGCCAACCCGACCTAACCCAAAGCCACTCGGTACCTAATCAAGTTGTAAAATCTTCAAATCGTAGGTATCAGGAGTATATGGCCATTTGAACCTAACCAACCTGATGGATCCAATGCCTTTTTATACCGTGGATTTAATATTATAAACAAATTCTTAATTAATATGTGTACTTTTGTTTGGGTTGGGTTCGGATGAGATTTTCCAAATCACAAACATTGGATTGGATTGTTCAAATGTTTTCAACCATGCCAACCCGACCCGTTTATAGCCCTAGTTGTTTCCCCTACCATATTAATTAGGTTATCTAACCGTAACTTTGATTCCTCAAAATCAAACTCGAAGCTGATTCTATTAGATGCTAATCAAGCACATATTCTTGGAATTATAATAATGACAATGTAGAGTGACGGTATATAAGCGGTGAAATTATCTTGTCACTTTTATTGCCATCATCTCTCACTCCGTTAGATATGTACAATATACCTTTGATAAGTACTGGATTGAAGTTCGATATTGATGACGTTTCCTATGTATCTTCCTACTTATTTCCCCATAATCCGACGTTGTTTTTAAATACATGTCGTCCCAAATCTTATTTAACCGTTGTTGTACGCATCAAGCACCATCAAGTAGTCAAAGACCTTCCAGCCTAGTGGTAAGGCTTGGGCATGGCATAGTCATGAACCCAAGTTCGAGCCCTGAGAGGGGAGTGTTGGCGACATTTAAGTGGGGCTATGTTTAGCCTCCAAATTTGCCGGGGATTAGTCGGGCTTTGGCAAATCCCAGATTTTACCCCCGAATCCCAATGGATGAACATTAGCCTCTAGCTCTTTGGTTCACCTTAGCTAGTCCATTATGGTGTGTTTGGTACACTGAATAAGATAAAACAGGAATCATTGTTCCATGTTTGACATGATTTTTAATTGGAACAGACAGGATGAGAGCGAAACAAATATGGTTTACAGTAAGACGAAAATTGAATGGGATAACATAAGACAAAAACTAGTTGTCATGGACCAAACTTTAAGATTTTTAGTTCCACCAAAATAGGCGGAACAAGATGAATCTAAGGTTTCCCCAAATCTCTAAAATTTCTAAAATAAAATAAAGATTAAAGTTCACTTTTGGTCTCTAATGTTTGTCACTTTCAACGTTTTTCGTCTCTTAACTTTGTTTTCTTGGATTTGTCCCTAACATTTGTCGATTACTGACGGTTTTGATCCCTCCCTCTAATGACCGTTAACTTTTTCCGTTAACTCCAATTAAGTGAAGGGTATTATGGTCATTTTATGTTTAAAAAATATAACTTCGATTTTGATCCTCCCATTTGAAAACCCAATGCCAGTCCCTTTCCCTTAGCATGAACTATCTTTTGTTCAACTACAAGGGTGATGTTTGATTGGTTTGAGCTTGACTTCAAAGGCCAAAAGTACCAGAAGGTTCCAGGTTCAAATCCAATGAGGAATAAAAATCTCATTGTGGCCACAGAGGTTCAAATGCGGTGACTCCGGGCTATCTGCAAAGCAGGTGGTCGTCCTGAGATTAGTCGGCTCGCATAGCGGGTTGGATATCCAGGTTAATAGAAAAAAAACTATCTTTTGTTCGATAATTGAAACTTCAGACCATGAAAGGTGATTTKGATGTTCAATTACTCGCTATTAAAGAAGATGAAGTGACCTAATGGTGAATGGTGCTGCAGATCACCGATTAGGAAAGGACCGGGGAAAGGGAAGGGTCTGAGGCTGGGTTTTTAAAGAGGACCAAAATTGAAAATATATTTATAAATAGAAAATAACATAAAATTACCATAATACCCTTCATCTAATTGGACTTAACCAAAAAGGTAAACGGTCGTTAGAGGGAGGGAAGGACGAAGTCGAAAACCGTTCGAAATCGACAAACGTCGAAGTTGAAGGAAAAAACTATTAAAAGTGACAAACGTTAAGGATCAAAAGTGAACATTACTCTAAAATAAATTGGACATGTTCTAAATTACTGTCCTACCCTTTACCATCTGATATTAAAACCTAAACTAAAATCATCGCCTCCATTCGGCACGACTTCTTCGAGGCTATCGTTTCTTCCCAACTTCGATCTCGATCTCTCCGGTACGATTTCTTTCAACCATGGTTTTCTATTTCGATTTTTCAGCTTCTTCGATTTCGACTTCCAATGTCTACGATTTCGACTTCCATGGTCTTCGATTTCGACTTCCATGGTTTTCGATTTCCACTGGACCAACTGTATATGTTTGAGATGGATGCTACTATGGATTTTGAGACGATGCTAGTGTGAATTTTGTTTTCAATGATTTTTGATTTCCACTGTTTCTATTTTATTGCTACTGTGAATTTTGTTATCTATGGTTTTTGAGTTCCATGCAACTGTGGATTTTGTTTCTATTTCATCATTGAATGTATGATGCTTATATTGAGATGGAACTCAATAGATAGTTCCTGCTGAAAATCCTTGTCTAAGTGTTCCTCGAAAATGAATTTTGTAGTGATGGTTTTCCAAATATGGTGTTATTTTCTTCTTGTTTTAGCTACTTTCTATTTTGTTTTGTTTTGCGAATTTTGTAGTGAATGATCGGAATCACTTGTTGTAGTCGCTGACTTATGGAATATTTACATTCAAATGCTCTGAGTATTTGCTGTCTCTTATGATCTGGTTAATTGAATTGGAGAATCTAAATAATGAAAGAGAAACTTTGGACCAAAGAACTCCCGCTGGACTTCAAATTTGATCAACCGAAATACAACATATTAGACATATGATGTAAACTGTATAAATGAGTTGCATATGGATAGAAATGTTTTTGCAATTTTTGCGTGATTTGCTTAAAACTCGTGGTTAGCATATGACACTAAGAATAGAACTATCCAGGTTAGGTTCTATAGGTCGGGGGAAACAATAAGTCGGTATGTTCATCGAGTGTTGTGTGTTATATTTCGTTTGGAAGACGTGGTGCTTGTCAAACCAACTCCTATAGAAGATTTTGTCCGGATTTGAAATCCGTAGGAGGTGCACGGTGGGATTGCATGGGATTTCTTAGGATTGTATGCAATAAGGTTTTAAAAAATGTTAAAAACATTTGTTTTGTAATAATCGATTAATAAAAATGTAATTTAATTATTTTTACAATTATTTTTATAAATTATTTATAAATAATGGAATCCAATTCCATTCAAAATCCTACAAACCAAACACACCAATGATTTCAAATCCATTCCAATCCAAATCCCTCAAAAACAATCTTGTAAACCAAACGGACCCTAAGGTTTTAAATTCGCTGGGGAGGGCTTTAAAACCTTAGTATAATCCCCGGCGAATGCGAATGTATAACCTTAGTATAATCCCCGGCGAATGTGAATGTATAACCTTAGTATAACCCCAATGAGTTTAATTAAATACAACATCATATATGACGAATTTAATTGTAGACACACATTTCTCTCATCGAGATCTAGAGCTGGTTTGAATACAAGTACGATAAAAGTGCAACTTTGTTGTATCTATAGATACCGTTTTCTTAATTCTTTTTATGATTTTATAATTTATACGATCTTTTTTGAATCTAATGGTTGTAGTGTTATCAAGTTTTTTTCACCTGTCTGCAAGATCTTTAAAATGTCCTCTTTACATGTTTGGATGAATACATGTACGATATACATACAACTTTGTTGTATATATGGATGCTGTTTTCTTAAATCTTTTTATGATTTTATAGGATCTCTTTTGAATCTAATGGTTGTAGCTTTATCAAGTTTTATTCACCTGTCTGCTAGATCTTTAAAATGTTCTCTTCATGTGTTTGGATGGATTTTTTGTGTTTTAAGCTACAATTAAAGCTGATAATTTGAAGTTTCTAGATGCATTAAAGCAGGCAATTAAGGTAATGATATGGATTATTGGGTAATGTAATTTTTATGCGAATGGTTATAGATTGTGTGTAATTGATATGTAGATGTTTATGTGTTTAGTCTTCTTAGATCAGCAAGTTCACAAATTATGGTTTTGGATTCGAAGTTTCGTGTGAATGTATGCAATTTCGAGCTTATAGACATCATTTATTTGCCAACATGATCTATAATCTTCATCTACCACTAGTTATGAAAACTTTTGAATGGTAAGAAGTTAATCCGGCTTTGCTGTCACTTCATGGATTTGGGGGGGAAATGCGTAATGCTGAAGTCAATAGGTGTGTTTAAATCGATCAAGTTTAAGGCACGAGATTGAAATTTGAAACTAAGGCCCGATTAGTTAAATATTTTAGAATTCAGAACCTTCTTGTTGTGATTTTGTAGTCTAGTCCCTTGGTCGAGTTTTGAATGTATAGTGAATCATTCGGTAATAGTTCCATTAAGATTCTTCCTTGGTGTTTGACTTTTACATATGCTATTTTTGCTTGGTATATGATTAGTGTCATTTGCATCAATTAGTTATCTGTCATCAAAAATGTCAAACAGTTACTCGAATCCTTGAATTGAATCTGAATCTGATACGAGTATGTGATATTTATCCTTGAATACGTAATCTTTGTATAGGAAGTGTCAACATAAAGGCTGCACATGTAGTCATTGAGATAGTTACCTGCTTTTCAACCTAATAAGATAGATATATTTGCTTGGAATTGGAGCTACGTTAGCTCGAAGTTTGAAACAAACATCCTCAAAAAACCCGGTTCCAAACTTCAAATCACATGCTCATTGCACACCTATACACTACGGTAAATACACTTGTGATAACTAGCAATTGTGTATCAAAACTGGATTCAGCAAGACTTGATATACTCATACATAAATGACCTTCTACATGATCGCACATTTTCTTTCCTTTCTTTCATTCTTTTGTTGTTCTTTCTACCTTCTCGCTGAAATACTAATTTCTAAGAGCAGAAAAGAATTTCGTTTTTCTATCTTGATGTTGTTTTGAAAGGGTCTTATTGTGAACACACCCATATACTGTTCTTTTTTTAATTAGCATATATAATCATGAACATGTAATGAAGCCTTGTTCAGTTGTGAAGCTTATTTTTCCATGTGATGCAGTTTTTTTGCATCTATGAACGAGATTTATACCTAAACTTGACCTCTTAGCCGCCCCCCGCCCCTTCTTTATCTCTAGCCAATTTTATCTGACAGCGTGTACATTTGGTGCCATGCAGTTCATTGCAACTGATCTGTGTTCTCCATGTTTGTCTTTTAACATACTTTTCATCTTATGATCTGTGTTCTTCAGGGTCTAAGATGGCAGCAACATCAGCAAGTGCCCTTTCCATTGGATCAACAATATCCAATGGCTCCAAAGCTACCCCACTTATGCAATCGAATACATTTGGTGTTACGTTCAACTCCCAAAACCATATCAAGAGTTTTACTGGCCTCAAGGCTGCCGCTTCTGTAAGCTGCGAATCATCTTTCCTTGGCAAAGAAAGCACTACAGCACTTCATTACTCTTTTGCCCGGAAATCTCAAAACCAGCATCAGACATCACGAAACGTCCTTCAGGTTAAGGCCTCTTTCAAAGTGGCTATTCTTGGAGCCGCTGGTGGTATCGGCCAGCCACTCGCTCTTTTGGTGAAGATGTCACCATTAGTTTCTGACCTCCACCTTTACGATATAGCAAATGTGAAGGGAGTGGCAGCTGATCTCAGTCACTGCAACACTCCCTCCCGAGTTCAGGATTTCACCGGGAACGACGAACTTGCCAATTGTTTGAAAGATGTGGACGTGGTCGTGATTCCCGCCGGTGTTCCAAGAAAACCCGGTATGACCCGTGATGACCTTTTTAACATTAACGCCGGAATTGTGAAGACATTGATCGAGGCTGTGGCTGATAACTGTCCTGATGCCTTCATCCATATTATCAGCAACCCAGTTAACTCAACCGTCCCGATTGCTGCCGAGGTGTTGAAGCAGAAAGGCGTCTATAATCCAAAGAAGCTCTTTGGTGTCACCACCCTTGACGTGGTGCGAGCCAACACGTTTGTGGCTCAGAAGAAGAACGTGAAACTCATCGACGTAGACGTCCCTGTTGTCGGAGGACACGCAGGAATCACGATCCTACCGTTGCTGTCAAAAACGAAACCGTCCGTCGCATTCACGGACGAGGAAGTGCATGATCTAACGGTCAGGATTCAAAACGGTGGAACAGAGGTGGTCGAGGCAAAGGCGGGTGCAGGGTCTGCCACACTGTCTATGGCGTACGCAGCTGCGAGATTCTTGGAATCATCTCTCCGCGCACTCGATGGAGATAGTGATGTTTACGAGTGCGCATTTGTCGAGTCGCAAGTGACGGAACTTCCATTTTTCGCATCGAGAATCAAGCTCGGAAAGAAAGGAGTGGAGGCGGTGATCGCTTCGGATCTCGAAGGGTTAACAGAGTATGAGAAGAAAGGTTTGGAAGCATTAAAGGGAGAGCTGAAGGGAAGCATAGAGAAGGGTGTAGCATTTGCACAAAAGCAAACAGTGAGTGCTTGAAGGAAGGGAGAGGTTTGAGAAGGTAATAATAACAATTCATCTCCAATTAATTCTCAAACTCAAGAAAGTTGGTTGTTGTAGAATTTGGGTTAACAAAAACATGGAATAACGTTGTTCATGTTCTTTAAAAAACACAAAAGAAACATGACTTTTTGTTCTTGGATGCCATTGTGCAATTTTTGTGTGGTGCTGTGAAACAGATTACAGAGGTTGATTGATCGTTTTGCAAATAGTCAAACAATACTTGGGTATCTGGGACAAGATGGTACGATGTTTTTTTTTTTTTGTATCCTTTCATGTTTGATGCGAGATTAGACTGCCGAACAACATAGGTGGAAGTGAACAGTTGTGGCACTGAGTCTATCAGGGGTGATGCTTACCGAGTTTGTGCTTCAATCAAATACTTAAATATTTAAAACTTTACATTTTAGGTATTAAAATGAAAGTTTTGAAAGTACGTTACTCAAAATATGAATCAAGTTAAAATATGTTATGTTTTCATGCAATTTGCCTAAACTTATATATGATGTAGATTACATGGTGGTACGTATTTTTCACGGTTTTGATCCAAATGACCGTCTATCATGTCTGTTAAACTCGAGGGAAAATGGTCTTTTGACACTTTTCCTTATTTAAACATTTTTTTTAATCAGGCTTTTTAAATCAGGGGCGAAAGTGTATACATTTTACTTGGAGGGCAGACACAAACACCATTTACCTTCTTCATCTTTCCCGTCGACACCACTAGCACCCCCCCCCCCTCCTTTGTTTCCGGTGAACCCCCGCCCCCTCCCTCTTTGTTTCTGAACCATCTCCCCGTCCATCTTAGACGTCAATCTCAGATAGGCAGGTGAACAAGTTTTTGTGTTCCACCTATTTTGTTGGGACAAATAAAATGCAATTTTCCACTCGGTCCCGTCTATTTCCAAACCTAAGTGTTGCACGAAACATGAGACAACTATTTGTTATGTCATGTCTCATCATGTCCAACGTATCAAACGTACCCTCAAAAGTATTCAATTTGGTGTTAGGAACATCCAACATAAAATAAGTGAAGTCACATTACCATATTGAAATCCCCTTTCAAACAAAATTGGGAATGCTGGTGTAACTTCCCAATTCAATCATAACTAATAATTCAAAATCCATCAGACATTCAAGAAAGAACAGTGCATACTACTACTGCACCTCATCTATATATTAATTGTGTCTTGGTTTACCACAAGTCACTCAAATGGTAAGAGACTTGATCAATTCCTCGGCTTACCCCCTCTACCGCGTCCACGCCAATTTCCACGCCCACCACCCCTGCCACCGCCACCGCCACCACCCAATCCCTTGTTCATCATGTTTTCCGGCAATGGAAGAATGTGATCCACACACTTACGGAAACTGAAATCATCAGCAGACTCATCCTCTCTAACAAGAAAGAAGCATCGGCTTTTCCACTGTGGATGGTACCGAACTTGGAATGCTTGGATGCCTACACCAATTTTTTTCTCTGCTTCTAGGTGACCTTTCTTTAGCAAGTCCAACAACATACCATGCTCATACTGCAGTAACACAATACAAATCAACCACAAGTAAGCACTAGTGTCCTATTAACCCTTGACACGTTAACACATCAATCAAATAAAGTTGCATCCCTTTTAAAAGGAACTGAGGGTGAAAATAAAATGCTAAAGAAAGGAACATATGGCTTTTCCATGAATTCATAAGCAAGTGAACTGACAAAAATGGTTAAAAGGACAGTAAAAACAAGGTCCAAAGATCAAAATGGAAAAGGCAAAGCTGGCATTGTAAGCCACAATTCGTGTGTGCCTTTTTGTTTGTTTGTTAGTGTGGTTGTCTCTCATAATATGCATATTCTTCCACACCAGTCAGGATATCATATACAATTTATAAAAATAAGCAATGAAAGCTAAAAGTTTATCTGTGAATACAGCAAAGTGCTAAAACAGTTCATTCTGAGCATAAATGGTCTTTCTAGCATGAACTACAATTCCAATAGAAAAGAGAGCATCCCATCAGCTAATAGTTGTTAACTTGGTGGCAAAATTATATATACTAATAGAAGATGCAGATTGCCATACCATATGGAATGCAAGACAGTACTTAACATTGTTTGTTGCTGCATATCGAAGTGTTGTATTAGCCCCTTTGCAAAGCTCAACATCGTGATACAGTTTTCCATACTCTTCTTGATAGAGATGTGAAACAATAGTGATAACATGCTCAAAATTCATGACTAAAAGGTGAACCCCTTCTAACTGACTTCTGAGTATCAAATTACACAACGCAATTGGCTTCTACCATGAGGGATCTAATCCATTCATCGAAAATCAAAGAAAATAAAACTTAGGATACATAGGTTTTTACATCTGTATTAGTTGGTCTTACTCTTTGCAAAACCTTTTAGCAACCTCTTTGCTCTAAAGGAATGGCTGCGTACATCTTACCTCCTAGACCATGTATCACATGGGATTTACCCATTCAATTGATTCCGTTCCATTTGGTTTGGTTTGGTTTGGTTTTTATATCCAGATCTCCAAAAATGTGCAAAGGTTGATAGAACATTAAAGAAAGTATGTAACCTTGAGGATCCATATGACCATATCAATGTCAATTCCTCTTTTTGGTATCTATTTCAAATTCAAAAACATTATTCAATAGCCAAATCTTGGTATTCTATTCCCATTAAACTCACATTCAGGTGATGTAGTCTATGATTCTTCAGTAAACTTATAAACAATACCGTTTGCCTTATCTAATCAACCAAAATTGCACCATTATTCCAAGAAAACGATACTACAATGATGTTTCAAACAAACAAAGATAGATTACGAATTTGATAAAGTAAAATAACATCAGAGATCAAACCAGATACCTTATTGACATTGAGGTTGGGAGGCCAGAAGTGAAGAAACTTGTAGAAGTAATCAAAAATCTGCACAGAGGTCTCGAAGCTCTTATAACCAACAGCCACCGGACCAGTCTTTGCTGCTTCTTTCTCCAGCCTCTGCTCTTCCACAGACTTCTCCTCATCCACCTTCGCTTTTTTCGCATCGTTTCCGTTCTCCGTCGATTCAGTGGTCACTTCTTCCTCTCTTCCTCGTTTACCGCCGTTAGTCGCCTCAACAGTTTCCACATCCATCTCTTGTGGCGCTGCTGATGAATCGTCTTCTACTGTTTCTACGACGGTGGTCTCCGGCGGTGCTGCTGATGCTGCTGCTGCTACTGCTTCCTCGGCCATTAATGGATGCTGACTGATAGATCGTCTCTCTTTGGCAATGGCGGAACGAAAAACCCAAACTTTAAACCCTGATTCTCATAACAGCAGTTTTATAGGGAGGGACAAATTCAAGTGGTTTTTAACTTTTTGAGTAAAATACGATTTTAGTCCCTTTGGTTTATTAATAATTACAACTTTCGTCTCAATGATTTCGAAATTACGATTTTCGTCCCTTTAGTTTGTGATTTATCGTTGTTTTCATTTACGAGACTAACTTCATAAATGGTTTACTGTTAAGTATGTAGGATGGAAACAAAAATGAATTGTAAACCATATGAATAAAAAAACCAATGAATTGTAAGCCACTAGAACTAAAAAACAATGAGCTGTAAATGACAAGGGTGAAAACTGTAATTTCAAAAACATAGAAATGAAAATTGTAATTTACGCTAACTTTTTGTCATGGTAAATTACTAAAATCGTCCCATAACTAATTTAACGGAATCGTAATAAGCCTATGTTACTATCGCTTTGTTACTATGATTGAAATCTTCAAATGGATATTGTCAATTGCGAGAAAGTTCGTCCAAAATATAAATGTAACACCAACGTTACTATTGACTTTTTTGCCGTTAAGTTACCTACAATCAACCGGGGACATATCTACCTGATGGAATGCATACATATATATAACACAACAAAAGCAAATACAAATATACCCAAAAGCATCACAAAGGTGGTGCCTGATTGGTTTGAGCTTGTCTCTAAAGGTCAAAAGTAACAGTAGGTCTCAGGTTCATATCGAATGAGTAATAAAAATCTCCTTGTGGCCACGGGGAGGTTCAAATGTGATGACTCCGGGCTATCTGCAAAGTAGGTGGTCGCCCTGGGATTGGTTAGCTCGTATAGCGGGTTGGATATCCAGGTTAATCAATATATATATATATATACCCAAAAGAACTAAGATGACACTTGAGTCAATACCTGAACTAAGTTCCCTTATCTTTCCCTTTGTCAACAATCCTCTATTTTGTAAAAAGGTTAATCAACAACGGGTAAGTTACAATGCTTAATGACTATATAAAAGTACATGGTTATAATGTATTATATTTAAATAATATTAACCGAAGAATGAAACGAAAACTCGAAACGGAAGCTGTTATAACATCGAAGACCAATGACTCGGAGAATTCCATTAATATAGCATAACTTCCAATAGCAACATACGTTCTTACCGACAAACTCGACAAGGAAATAACATTCGTGTCATACAAACATCTATCACATGGCTCAAGTATCGTATCATGTAAACATATCATGAATCAAACATAAAATATCAAGAATAGTGCACCACCCCCACCTTCATCTACTGGGTACGTGCAAAATAGTACTCACACTCGCCTCCTACCACCTCGAGATACGTGAGTATGATGAACCGGTATGTCACACCCAACCTCCATCTCCCTAGGATACTTGGACATACGTGGATAAGTTAGTGTTCATTGTTACGAGAATTATATAAAATAAATATGTCGGACTTTTAGTAAATGGAGATTAGTACAAGTATACACTTATCAATCAACTATCATCTTAAGTAATGAAGTGATAAAAATACCGAATATCGTCCATAGGGAAAAGAATAAAAGTTCATAAAAAGTCTAAGTAAAGACATGATTTCAGATGGTGAGTTCGAAGAAATATTTGTGGTGGGTTGGTTTAACACTACTGTTCTGAACAAGTAATAAAAGAAAGCTTAGGGTGTAGAGTTTTGTTAAGGTATTCAATCGATTTTTAAGTGGACAATATGCTACAACATGGTTCTATAGCATGCTTTATAAATAACTTGTCCTTACAAATAATAGCTTCTTTAAGGTACTATCTCGAGATGTAGAATGACACACAGTCATAGATTAAGTCTTCATATCTCTATGCAAAGTTGGAGTCTTGACATTGGCTCAAACTATTTCTTATATAAGCTAAATGGAGTGAAAACGAGTCTGATTCTAAGTAGCTCTCTCGAGTCTACTTTCATACCATTCAAGTTGACATGTGCTTGTTGGTTTATCTTCAAATCCAAGACACTTTAACACTTTTAAACAAATGATCAACTTGTCCATGAATGATATTTTTGCAATATAAACTTGAATGACCTAGTTGGAAAGACATATTATTTAATTTTCTACAAAAGGAATCGGTGTTTCTCTTAACACCACCCAACATCCAAACTATATTTTTAGCCTATCATACTTGAAATAATAAAATTAATTGCATAAATAATAATACATATTAATTTGAAGTAAAGTACAAGAAAATAAAAGAAATTAATGTTAAAGAGAATTATAAAGATTAAAGAAGACTTTTTCTTGAATATAGAGAGAATATTAAAGATACTTTCATTCTTCAATTTCATAACCAAGTTAACTTCTAAAATTGTTTACTTAAAAATGTCAAGTATCACGTCCTTTATATAGTAGGAGAAGGGGATACAAGGACCAAAAGATAAAACCATTATCCAACTTTTTACAATACCCAAAAGACAAAGCCATATTATCCAAAATACAGTACAAAGAGAATTTTTTATCCTTGTGCTATTAAATCTTTAAATCTGTATGAGATGAGCTGCCAAAAAGATAGATAAGATATCAAAAGATCCTTTGTACTATTATCTAAAATGTCCATGGAATCATCCTGCAACACATGCTGTAGCATACTTCTGCTAAATCACCTATTTACACAGTTTTCTCCCAAAAATTAGCACATACCCAATAAGTAAACATGTTTATCACATCAATTCATCTCCAATATAAAAAAGATGCAAAAATAAAATAAAAAGACTCAATTTATGGAATATTGGGAAACTAAGACGGATAAATAAAATAAGAAAATATGTAAAATCATCAAATAAGTTGATGCTTTTCATTCATGGACATATTTGAGGAGATCCAAACATTTTCATCATTATCGAGTGTATGTAGTCCGAAAGTAGGCCATTATTTAGTTTCTTGTAGTGATAATACATTATGTGGCCAACGGGCATCTGGGTACTCTATCCATTTCATTATATCATCTACCTCATGAATAGAGAGTTCATCACAATCAACCAAGTCTACAAAGTAGTATTTCCACGCAGATACTTTCTACTAGGAAACTTTATGAACAACCCACCATAAAAATTCTTCATTATTATCAACCTAGGATATAAGTATCTTAAAATGTGATTAGCAGCCTAATAATAAAATAAAAAACACTCACGTGACATCTTCATATCAGTAACAAGAAAAAAAAACAAAGTACCGCATATACTGTACACCTTGTACGGATCAAAAACATCAGAACTTGTTCTTACGTACAACATTCTTCATGCCAAAACCAAGTGCTTCAGCTTGATCTTCATTACAGAGAGTGTAGCAAATGAAAGTGTAAGGACGAAAGAAGCAGATAAATAAGAGGTCAAGAACAAAATGAAAATACCTTTACGTTATGAGTAAGTGGAGTCACTTAATATGGTGAACGGACATTTGTTAAAGCTAGAGATGAAAATTATATCAAAAGTGAAACCATAGAAAATTTTGTAATCTTTAAATTGAAGGGACCAAAACCACATACTTTTCAAAACCCATGGACAAAAAGTTGTAATTTACTTGATAAAAAAAATAAGAGTAAATTACAAATTTGGTCCCGTGGTTATATGCAAATTATAGACTAGGTCCTCCAATCGAAATGATTACAACTATAGTCATCGTGGTTCTATTTTTGTTATGGATTGGGTCCTATACCCTAACACTGTTAACATTAGTTTCGTCAAATTATGGGTATTCTGGTCTTTTTACTTTTTTGTTTTAAAAACTAAAAATAATATAATTCCCCCCACCCCACACACACACATATATATATATATATCAGTATATAAAAAAGAGTAAATTACACACATATCATCTCTATCGTTCGTGATACCCCCTTCCCCCTCGATGTTCTCTTCTTCCCCCACTTTAAGTTTTTGACGAAATCGTCCCACACATTGCAACTTTGGCAATTCCACCTTCTTCCACACGTGTTACTCTTGCAATTTTGTCCACCCACACTATATATGGGTTCGACGTCCCACATACTCCTATGATTTCGTCTGTCACATTGCAACTCCAACAACGACCTCCTCTTTCTCCAACAACTCAGATCTAACCTCCTCCATCTCCCCGTTGAGAAAGCCATTCAGATTCAGCCCCCATCAACAAATCAACTGTGAACACTGCTCCATTCCACCATAGCTTGTGACAAGTAAGCCTCTCCCCCTACTCCACCTTCAACCACAAATTCTGCCTTCGTTAAACCATCATAGAGCCCCCTCACCATTCTTCCTTCATCCGCTTTACACCACCGGAGCCCCATATTAAGAGGGACTGGATCAATCATTGCTTGAAAGCCCTTTTGATTACGATGTATTCTTAAAACATGGTTCTGCTTGGTTGTGTTTCAAAAAGATATTTCTTTACTTTGCTAGGTTAAATTTGGATGATTAGTTAGCGATGATGAAGATACAATATCAAAAACTCTAAAACCCTATAACATTTCTTTACTGGTGGCAGAGGAAACACTAAAGCTCCTCAAGAATGGAGAATATGTATTTGAATTAAAAATTGAATGTTTAAAATCACTGAAAACCCTCAATAATGGGAACTATGTATTGAATTAAAAGGTATTTAAAATGGAAAGACTAAAATCCCTCAAGAACTCAAGAATGGAAACCGTGGTTAACTTGAAGAAATAGAGTCATCAGTCTTGGGAGGGAATAGGATGGAGGGGAACACGTGTCTTTTGATAATTAGGTGTTCCGAAATGATTTTTAAAGTAATAGATAAAAAGACTTAAATAACCATGACTTAACAACCTAAGATTAATAGAGTTAGAAGTAGGGATCTGATTCATAAAAAAATTGAAACATCAGTGATCATCCTAGCGATTAGTTTGTCAGAGGGACCCAATCCATATTTAAATATAACCTTAGGGACCAAATCTGTAATTTACTCAAAAGATGATAAATCTTGCATTTATTAAACAAATAATCTATTGTAAAAAAAAATACCTATATCTATACTATATTATAAAACATTTGGTAAAAACTCTTAAAAACCAGTTTTTATGCATGCATTATTGTTTATTGATACATATTACTTAAAATTCAAGATTATAAATAAACTATGCGTAAGTATAACTTATTAAAGTTTCATGTATGAATCATGTAACTAACTGCAGATAAACGTAGTCAAATACAAAATAAACATTTCATTTTAAATGTAAAAAAATTAAATTATAATTAGGATAATCATTGAGTTCTAACAAAATACTTAATTATTCTACATAAAAACCATTTTTTTATGTATAAAGTACTGTTTATTGATGCATATTACTTAAAATTGAAGATTACAAATAAATTATGTGTAAATACAACTTGTTAAAGCTCCGTGTTTGAATCATGTAACTAATTGCAGATAAACATAGTCAAATACAAGATAAACATTTCACTTTAAATATAAAAAATCTAAAATATAATTAGGATAATCATTGAGTTCTAACAAAATACATAATTATTCTCCATATAAAAAATTATATTATTGAATAAAAAATAAATTACTTTGTTACTAAATATAAATTAAATTGTAATAAAAAACTGAATTAAATAAATTATATAAAAAACAAAAACTTTTAAATAGTTAATTTGATACTGATATTAATATATTTATTTTTAAAATTTTATGATATCTTTAAATTTATATTTTATTTAAAAATAAAAATATTATTCTTTTTTCAAAACCATATTATAACATTTATAAAAATAAAATATTAAAATCGAGATATATCTTACTGTATTGTATGACTAGTCGTGCTATTTTATTTATTTATTTAAAGAATACAATAAAAATGACATTTGTTTTGAAGACTTTTATGAAAGGAGATGTCGGGAGTAATAATTATGTATACTTTTTGTATTCTATCCATAATATCAACATAGAAGGAGAACCCACCCTCTTCGCAATTTCAAGCTCACGACTTTTCTCTCCAAGACTCGTTCATCTCCAAGCTCTCCTCATCGATCATATCCACCACACTGCTTTCGAGGTATTCAAGATTCATTCCAGTTTCATCTTTTCTTGATTTCCATTCTAATTTATGTGTTTCAATCCCATTTCGTTCTCAATTCTAGGGTTTTCTTACTTTATTGTCCTGATTTGGTGTTCTTGATTTCTATATATTATATATATACACACATATGTACCTTTGAAGTATTTTTCTATTTGGCGTTCGATTTTATTGACTACTTCTTGGCGATAGCCAGTCCTTGTCATTGTGGGAATTTGGAAGAAATTACACCAGCAAGGTTAACAATTTTATGCCATTTTTTATGCGTATTTAGTTTCATTAATCATGTCTTCATCTGAAATTTCCCAGAATTTGATCTGATCTTCTTTCTTTCATAACCCTAGATTTAAGAAAACTTGAACATCACTGTAGACTTCATTAATAATTCAAAATTGCAATTGGTTTGGTTAAGAAATATCAATGTGTGTCGAAATCTAATTTGTTATATAGTTATTGATATATCGACTTATTTCAAGGATACCATTCCAATTTGTGTCATTTTAGATTTTGAGTTTTGGTATCAGGTAGGGTGATTGCTCATAAAGTATATATTTCTTAGTTATTATCACTACCTGTTTGTGTGTGTGTATATATATCTTAGTTAGTATCAAGGCTAACTATCTGTTGAACAACTATCCTCACCATTTTTGGCATGGCTCCCGTTGTTCATCATCATTTTGGCACGACTCCTGTTCATCATCTGTATGTATATGTCAGCTATCTCATGTGTGTAATGTGTTGCATTCTTGTTTTTCATTTTTATTAGATTTTCTGTTAACTAGTGGAGGCTAGAAGCTTTTAGGAAAGCTAAATACATGGCATTGACTTATGTGTGCTATGAATTCAAATGGATACTTCAATGCTGCATGTTGTAAAGGTTGATACCCATTTCTCCATTGTGATATATTGTGATATTCTTTTAGCATTTGCAATGGCACCGTGTTTTCTCTTTCCAAAAAGAAACATCAGTTAGCAGATCTTTTGGCCCAGGGCACATTATTTTTTCAGCAAGTTCAGGGTTCTAAACCGTCTCTTCACCTTTCCACTTATAGAGGGTGGAGCTGTGGGTGTGTTATCTAAAAATGTCATAGTTCAGGGTCTAACATGTGACTATTTTTCAGATATTTCATGGTAGTTGTAGTGGTTACGTTGGAACCCACAGTTTGTTGTGAATAGCTTTCCCCTGCACAATTTTCTGCATATTCTTTTGTATCATCCAAGTCTGAATGAGTTTGTATCGCCCAATTCATTTCCTATATCTATTTGACATTTGATGGTTGTAACTGCCCAAAATCTTCCATGTGACGAGAAATTGAGAATATTTATTATTAATTAGGGTATGCTTTTGCAGATGGAAGACCACCTGGTTTTGCGTGTTGATCAGCTGGTGAGTAATAAATCATTGCATTCATCAGAATCGGTGGATGCTCCAGGATTATCCCCAGATGCTTCCAGCAGTCATGCTACTGGTGCGTCTATTTCTGTAACTGACACGAAGGAAGATGCGGAATACGATGAAAGTGGTGAAGAAGAGCCACTTATTCAGTCGATTGAATGCCGCATATGCCAGGAGGAGGATAGCATAAAAAACCTGGAGGTTCCTTGTGCTTGTAGTGGCAGCCTCAAGGTTCTTTAAGGGCATTGTTTCCTTCTAAGGCCTCTATAAATTTGTTTGTGCAATTAGTTTCATAGATTATACAAAAATGTTTCTTAGTTGTTAAATTTAAATGGTGATGGGCCATTTTCTGCACCTTTTTTCTTCAAGTGTACGTATATATATCTTATGCATGCTTTTTATTGTTGCTAACTGCTCTTTTATAGAACATATGAATTCTAAAGAACACATTTATTGCAGTTTGCTCATAGGAAGTGTGTTCAACGATGGTGCAACGAAAAAGGAGATATAATTTGTGAAATCTGTCATCAGGTATCTCACTGGTTGCCTACTTTCTTATGTCTGCTGTCAATTCCACTTTTCTGTTTCTGTCTTTCGAAGGATAAGAAGCCCAATATCTTCTTCTCATCTGGAAGCTCAATTTGAAAGAAAATATAACTATTGATTCTACTACTTGTAGAAACTTTTTATGCTGTAAATGAATAAACTTGTAATTCTATTTAATCGATAACTGATTTATGTTGATAAATATCATTATTTTGATTGAATCTTTAACTGAAGTCTATATCCTTTAACAATGATGGGCAACCATGTTAGGGCCTGTTTGTTAGCAAGCAGCTTAACGAGCTTAATGGGACTCACAGCTTATTCAGTCAGCTTGTTTGGTAGTGGATTAATGATATAGAGCGTGGCTTATTCAGTATGTTTCTATGGGGAGCTTTATGCAGAAAGCCAAGTTTTTTTTTTCTTTTTCTGAACATGTCCCTCCAAATTAAAAAACACTCTTCTTTCGTCTATGAAAAAACCCTCCCTAATCATCCCCATCTATACAAATAGATTAATCCACACATATCACTTTATCCATATAGGACTTAATGGAAAACCAACCACACAGCCCCTTAGTTTTGGGTCATAAAGCCTCTTCTCTCAAACACTCTAGCCGGAAAGCTTTGAAAACATAGTTGTTGGATATACCAATTTAAAAATCTTGCTTATGTTAAGAGTTGCATTCACTAAAGGCTTTGCTCGTTGATGTTTTTAGTAATTGTATTTATGTAGTTTGTAACACTAAAATGGCGTTTATGATATGTAGAAGCCATTTGTTTATTTGTCATATAGAACTACAAGATCCATATGTTTGTTTGGAGGTAGAAAAGAGGATGATCTGTCGGCCAGCAATTACAACCGTTTAATCACATTTATCGTCTCACTCCGATTTGGTGTTGTAACTGATGTTTTGGTGGTTTTCTTATTCCCTCTTATCCCATGTGAAATGCATCCTTTCACTTGGTACATAGTTTAAGTGTTAGACTAGATGTCTATATACCCTTCAAGAATGACTGAACTAGGGGAAGCTTGTGGACCCGTACAAGGAGAGTAACTAGCTTAAATCTTGCTAATGCAATTTTCACGATATATCTTAGAAATTAAAATCATGGCTTGTTTTTATCTGACCAAGGGTGAGTATGTGTTTTTGCACACTAATTCCAAAGTAATATGTGTACTTATTGGGGATGTCAAACGAGATGATGGTTCAAACATGATATGCACTATGGTTTTGTCATATTAATGAAAGATACTTCAATCCACTTGGGGGCGTTTGGCTTGATGTAATGTTTATGGGGGTTTTGGATTTTGTGGAAGGATTGGAATCTTTTTATGTTTGGTGTGTAGGATTATGAATGGAATTGAATTCCAATCTTTATAGATCATTTATGAAAACAAATTATATTTAATTTTAAAAATAACTAAATTGTCTGTAACTAATTGATTATTACTAAAAGCAATGTTTTTAACATATTTTATAACATTATTACAAACAAATCCGATGAAACCCCGTGAAATACCAACTACTCCCATGGGATTTCTAAAGGCAATGTTTGTGGGATTTCAATTCCGGACTTCCCTTTAAACCAAATGCGAGATTGGAAATGGAATCCAATTCCAAATCCTACTAAATCCAGCAATGTTGTATGCAAAACTGCAATGTTATTGAGGCTATTGTCTGAAACCTTGTTATTCTATGAGATATGCTTCAGTTTGTAGTTATTAAGGTATAGGAAGAAGCCCTATTAAATAGAGACCAGTTTCGCTACAACACCCGCTGATAAAAATCCTGCCTGTCATCATCCCATTTCGAGGACTTACAGGCTCCTAAGTGATAAAGGAAAGAAGAGGTATATTGGGAGGCTCATTACTTCAATTAGTCCCCATGTACTAGCGATTTCGGCTTCATGCAGGCGAGTTCGGATACCCGACTGGTTTCAAGGAGGTTCGTGTTTAATATCCCCTAATACGTTTCACATATAATAGAAGAAATGGTCCATTTGGACTCAAAGAGGGGGGACCTCAAGGAATGAGAATATGGCATCATCAGAYGGTTAGCAATTCTGTTGTTGAGGGCAGTTTAGGGATTTTCTTTTATGCTTTTGGTGTGGGAGTTTAGCTATAAATAAGAGAGGGAGTATTGGGATTAATGATCCAGATATTTGCTCACTCCTGTAATAGGAGAGACTAGCCTCTCGAATTGCTAGCTTTCCTTTCCTTTCCTTTTATTGCTCAATATTCCCTAATCCTGATGAATTTATGCTCGGATCTGCTGTGTTTTCAGTAGTAGATTCATAACAAATTGGTTTCAGAGCCGTCAATTCCTGTTATGGCTCCCCCTAGAATGGAACCTGTAGCCCAACAAGTGGAAAGTGTGGAAGAGGATGTAGCAGCAGTCAAGTCTTGTTCGTTGGACTTACAACAGACCTTGCAGAAGCAATTTAGTGAACAAATGGTGCTCATAACTCAACGATTCACTGAGATGGCAGCGAAGAATTCCCAACTTCACTCTTCTATAAGGGAGGAGGTTAGGAAGACGTTATTTGAATGTGATCGATTCAATGGGGGACCCTTGCCAACTGGAAGCCCAAGTAACCTTAGTGGTGGTGGACGAGGAGGAACGCAAACGGGAAGATTCGATTGGAGATTTTGTAAATTGGACATACCCATGTTTGACGGCAGTAACTCTGATGGATGGATCCTATCAGCTGAACGGTATTTCATGTTCTATTGTTTGGGTGAATTGGAGAAGCTCGAGGCAGCGGTTGTGGCTCTCGAAGGGGATGCCTTACTCTATACCAGTGGGAGCATCGATGGTGGCCGATTACTCGATGGGAGGAGATGAAGATGATACTTCTTCGACAGTTTTGGCCGGCTGAATTCTTATATAAGCAATCGTTGGCGGTAGCCTAGGTTAGTTCAGAGGTGGATTATCAGAGACATATCATTGAATTAGCGGCTCTATTAAGTAATGTCCCTAGGCACATTTATTAAGGGGATTAAATCAGAACTGAGGGCTGAGGTCCGAGTCCTTGGTCCTCGCAACTTGGACCAGGCCATGGACCTTGCTATTAAACTGGAGGATAAGTTGAGGTCCACCATAGGGAGGCGAACTGAGTCACGAACGTCTCCAGCCCTGATTGGATCAAACGGTGCAAGCCCAAGAACTTCCCTCTTCCAATCAACACCAATACCTTATGTATCTCGATTGATGACTTCACCCACCACTCGTACCATCCCTCTTTCACCGAGTACGTTTGGGACAAATACTACTGGGAGAGGTGCGTCGTTTTTCCTACAAGGAGTTATAGACTAAAAGAGAACGGGTTCCCTATTTCCGACGTGACGAAAAATGCAACGTTGGGTACCGCTGCAAGCGTTGAGAATTGAGTGTTCTCTTGATTCGGGAAGAGGACGAGCAGCTAGAAGAGGAAGGGTCGGTGATTGAAGGCTTAGTTGAGAACCCACAGGCTGAGATATGCTTGAACTCAGTGTTGGGGATCACTAATCCAAAACACTGAAAATGAAGGATTATTGGGGGATTCAGAGGTTGTATGATTGATCCAGGGGCCCCACATAATTTCATCTCATTAGCCACTATCCAACGATTGGGTGTTCCAGTGAGCAACATGGGAGATTTCAAGGTCTCCTTGGAATAGGGGAGGCAGTTAAGGGACAAGGAGAGTGTCAAGGAATTCAATTATACATCCAAGGATTAGAGGTTTATGAAGATTTCCTTCCTTTAATCTTGGGAAATTCTGATGTGATTTTGGGAATATAATGGTTAGAGTTGGGGCTGAAGACGTAAATTATGAAATTCTTGGTCAACAGGTTCGGTTATGCTAAAAGGGGATCCCTCCTTGGGCCGCTTGAAAGTGACACTGAAAAACATGATACTCTCCATCACTCAGGAAGGGGGAGGACATATGCTTCAACTGAACGAGGTGGAACGGGAACTCCCCCTGACGGGTCTAACGGAATTTCCCGCCTTCTTGAGGTAAGTCATCACGACTCATCGGGACATTTTTGAATGGCCAAATGAGTTGCCACCAAAACGTGGCAGAGAGCACGCTATTATACTCAAAGAAGGAGCAAAACCAGTTTCAGTGAGACCTTATCGATATCCTCATGCCCAGAAAACAGAGATTGAAAGGTTGGTTCAAGACATGCTACGAGCGGGTATTATACAACCTTTGAGTGGGCCGTTTTCTAGTCTGGTACTCCTCGTTAAAAAAGATGGCTCATGGAGATTTTGTGTGGATTACGAGCGTTGAACAAAGCTACTATACCGGATGAATACCCCATCCTAGTGATCAATGAATTGTTAGATGAGATCTACAGATCACAAGTTTTCTCCAAACTCGATCTCAAGTCGGGGTACCATCAGATTAGGGTCAAAGAGGAGGACGTGGAGAAAACTGCATTCAAGACCCATGAAGGACATTTTGAGTTTTTGGGTTATGCCATTCGGGCTAATTAACGCTCCCACAACCTTTCAATCGGTAATGAATGAAATCTTCCGCCCCTATCTTTGTAAATTCGTCCTTGTATTTTTCAATGATATTTTAGTTTATAGCCCAAATGAGCAATAACATGTAGAACATTTGGCAACCGTCCAAACGCAACTATCATGACACCAACTTTATGACGGTCCAAACAAGTGTGCATTTGGTAAAACCTAGGTGGCCTATTTGGGTCATGTAATTTCAGAAGTTGGGGTGGCCATTGATCCAGAGAAGATTAAAGTTATAACAGAGTGGCCTTTACCAAAGAAATCTATGGGAGCTGCGCGGGTTCTTGGGTTTAGCCGGGTATTACCGACATTTCATCAATGGGTTTGCTAAATTGGCCTCTTCAGTAACTGATCAGTTAAAGAAAGAAAGTTTTGGGTGGACAACCCGGGGCAACAGAAGCCTTTCAATTGATTAAATCCGCCTTGACGTCAACCCTGATATTGGCAATGCCAGATTTTGCACAATTATTCTTCGTGGAGGCTGATGCATTGGGATTTGGGATTGGAGCAGTTTTGCTGCGAAATGCTCATCCTATAGCATACTTCAATCAGGTTCTTGGAGCAAGGAACTGGTTGAAATCCATATATGAAAAGGAGCTTATGGCTATAGTCCTCGCGGTGCTTAGATGGCGTCACTATTTGTTGGGTCGACATTTTGCCGGACAGATCGACGGAGCCGCAAATATCTTATGGAGCAGCGTGTGGTAGGGTTTGATTATCAAAGATGGAAGAGTAAGCTTCTTGGGTTTGACTTTGAAGTTCAATTCAAACCAGGATCGACTAACAAGGTGGCAGATGCATTGTCTCAAGAATTTCCAACAGATCGAGAGCTGGGCAGTTTAGTATCCTTATGGTCGATTAATACAACAGAATTGGTAAAGGAAATTGAAGTTGATTTCTTCATTAAGAAGGTTACTACTTACTAGTGAAATTCTGAATGAAGGCAAGACCCTCGTGAGGTATTCTTTAGGCCAAGGGCTGCTGAGGTATAAAGGCAGATTGGTGATTCCTTGCAACTGCTCTTTCATTCCTCATCTGCTACAGGAATACCACAATTCTGCATCTGGGGGACATTCGGGGGAACTAAAGACGTACCATCGATTGGCGTCTGAATGGTTTTGGGTCGGCATGAGGTGGGCTGTTCAACATTATGTTAGAGCGTGTGTAGTGTGTCAACAACAAAAGGCCTCCACCACTCATCCGGCAGGACGTCTACAGCCCCTACCCATACCATCTGAAGAATGGGAGGTCGTGTCTATGGATTCTACAGAAGATTTGCCACTCTCCAATGGATTCGACAGCATCCTAGTGGTTGTTGACCGACTAACCAAATATGCCCACTTCTTAGCACTAAAACATCCCTTTAATCGCAAATTCTGTTGCGGCATTGTTTGTCAAAGAAGTGGTCCGACTTCACCGGTTTCCATCAACCATTGTTTCAGACCGTGACAGTTTTTATGAGCATTTTTTGTGGGAGTTATTTCATCTTCACAGGACTACCTTACTGCGGAGTACGGGGCCACAAACCAATGGGCAACAGGAGATCGTGAATAAGACGGTCGAGACATATCTCCTATGTTTCATTCAAGGGGTTCCCAACAAATGGGTGCAATGGCTACCATGGCTGAGTTCTGCCATAATACGGCATATCACACCTCAATCAAATGCACACCATTTAAGGCGTTGTATGGTTGTGATCCACCCCGTTTGATGAGGATTGAACAAGGCAACACTGGGGTCTTTACTTTGGAAAACATGCTACTGGAAAGAGAAGCGATATTGGATTAATTACGTGCCTGGCTATTACAAATCCAACAGTGAATGAAAGCCATGGCGGATAAGACAATCAGGGCTGTTAATTTCGGCGTGGATGATTGGGTGTATCTGAAACTCCAGCCTTATCGACATAAGTCATTGGCTGGCAGACCATTTCAGAAGCTTGCCGCACATTATTATGGACCATTTAAGATTATACAACGTATCGGGGAGGTTGCATACAAGCTTCGGCTTCTGGCATCAGTGCGTATTCACCAAGTGTTCCTTGTGTGTGAGCTCAAGAAAGCTATTGGAGAACATCAGAGTTTACCCCCACAAATGACTGAAGAATTGGAACTGGAAGTGGAGCCGGAAAACTTGCTTGGGGTTCGCTCTAAAGTCGTGGCTGGGGGGCAAAGGGTGGAGGTTCTGATCAAATGGAAGGGACTTCAAGATTTCGAAGCCATCTGGGAGGATTTTGCAACCATCCAACAAGTTTTTCCTTATTTCCACCTTGAGGACAAGGTGGATGTCTGGGAACGGGTAATGTTAAATATCCCCCATACGTTTCACATATAATAGAAGAAATGGTCCACGTGGACTCAAGGAGGAGGGACCTCAAGGAATGAGAATATGGCATCACCAGAGGGTTAGCAATTCTGTTGTTGAGGGCAGTTTAGGGATTTTCTTTTATGCTTTTGGTGTGGGAGTTTAGCTATAAATAAGAGAGGGAGTATTGGGATTAATCATCCAGATGCTCACTCCTGTAATAGGAGAGACTATCCCCTCGAATTGCTAGCTTTCCTTTCCTTTTATTGCTCAATATTCCCCAACCATGTGAATTTATTCTCAGATCTGCTGTGTTTTCAGTGGTAGAACTTGATTCATAACAGTTTGATAAGATCAATCAGAATAAGTTCAGATAACAAAAAGGTGACTCTAGAGAAGAAAGGCTCCTCGGTTTTGTGAGGGGAAGTATTTGTATGTATGCTCCAGTGTGATTCGCGTTCCTGGATTTCATCCCATTTATCTTGTTCACCTAGTTTTATGCTTGTAGTTATTGCATACTTGGCCCCTCGTCCGCTATGATTATGTGATTGAGCTATTCTATTTCTTTGTTACGTTGGGATGGGTGGTCATAACCTGCAATTTCCACATGATATTTGTAAACAATAACCATTTCTTGATATCATTTTTACTACACATGCTATGGATATAATGGAAGAATGTTTATTACACAGGCTTACTCACCTGGCTATACCGCACCTCCTCAATCAGAAGACACTGTCCTTGATATCAGGCATTTTAACCTCTCTATGCTTCTTTCTTTCTTTCTTATCCTTTTTCAGAAAACCTTGTTGACCGTAAAAAGCTTTGAACTTTTTATATAGTTCTGGTGTTGGAGCATGTAAGTTTTGAATGCCCGTAATTTTAAATGCTCTTGTTCTAGAATTTTAATAGTTGGTCTTTTTGCAGTACAAGTTGGACACTTGCTGGTACTCCTTTAGACCTGAATGATCCTCGACTTTTGGCTATGGCAGCTGCTGAGCGCAGTCTTCTGGATGCCGAATACGATGAATATGAGGACACTAGTGCCAACGGAGCTTCATTTTGCCGCTCAGCTGCTCTCATAGTAAGCCACTGTCATATATGATGTGCAGTTCGTAGTTATTTGTGTTGGATGGCAATTTGTAGACTATGCTGTTAATCGCGCCGCTATATAACGGTGCTATCGCAGTTCGCGGTCATGGGACAAATAGCGGTTGGTAAATAGCGATCCCACAACTAGCAGTGTTATTATTGACTGCTAAATGACCTCATTTTGAACGCAAAAAAGTGGTCACGTAACCGCTATTTGTAGCTAGTCTGTTTTGGTGTTAAAAAAGTAAATTTGTGGGCTTTTATTTTGGACCTGCATTGAGTTTTATTCTAGTCCGGACTGTCCGATGGTATTAACGCTTCATTATTTTTATTCTTTTAGATTTGGACACCATCACTTTGACCTCTGGCTTTGAATAAAAAGCATCCACATTGTTCAATTATTTTTATCTGGTCTTGGACATCATTATTCTTATATATTCTTTTTAATGAATGCACATAATATGTTGAGTTATGTATGCATATATATATATATATATATATATATATATATATATATATAAAATTCTACTTATTATATGAACCACTATTTTTGTACCACTATACGATCGTGATAATAACAATTTCAAATCACAGCCCTCGCTGCAATTTCATATTTTGACGGCTCTAACATTATAGTTTGTTTTGATTATGCACTAAGGATTGTTTCAAGAATACTCGGCTGGTTATTAACATAATTGATGAAAAGTTTCTATTGTCATCGTAATACCTTGGTGGTGACTATGAATACCTGTGATTGTATAGAATCTCCGGGCTCTCGTTAGGTCTCTTAATTTATCAGGAGACAGTAATCCCAATTGCTAATGGATAACTCCAATTTTATTGGTTTGTAATGAAGGGCAAAATGCATGAAAAAGCAACGACGTTTTTCTTGATTCTTGTTTATTGTAACAAATAATCTTTTTTTTCTCGATTAATGTAACAAAGTTTCAAAATTTCTTATTTTGTACTCATTTTCATTGGTAACCTGTTGATCTTGTAACTTATAATGGGTATAAATTAGGAAAACTTTAAACTTTATTACATCGATTGATGAAATATTTATTTGTTACTAAGGGGGCATAATAAGGAATGATAATGTCGGGGAATGAAAAGTCATTGCAAGTCTTATATTTATTCGTTACCAGAATTTCACATGTGCTAAGATTTGGATCATTTTGTGGGCAGTTGATGGCTCTCCTGCTCTTGAGGCATGCTCTCGCACTCGGAGATGGTGATGATGATGGTGATGATGCTTCTGCCTTTTTTGCAGTAAGTGGAGTTTGTGGTTTATTAATTGCTCCGTCCATCCCAAACTCAGTGTCCATGTTTCTATTTTAGTTTGTCCTAAAATAAGTGCCATTTTCAAAAGTATCTGCGTACTTCCCAATTCTACCTTAATTATGAGATGCAGAAATTTATTACCGTGTCAATTATTTACTTAAGTTACACATGTCTGAAACTATGTCTCTTTCATTGTGGACATTTATTTTGGGACTGAGGGAGTATTTATAACAATTATTGCATGCTTGGCTCCAATTCCACTCAACGCTATACTTGCTCAACTTGACGATTTGGTTATCGACAGCTTTTCATGCTTCGGGCAGCTGGTTTTCTCCTTCCTTGCTACATCATGGCCTGGGCAATCAGCATCTTGCAGCGTCGTAGGCAAGCACAGGTAAAGCACTTCAATATTGTCGTTCTTTCTCCATAAAGCCATCTTCAGATTTTGGCCATGTTTGGCCAACATAAGCTCACTTATTTTTTGAGCTTATTGGAAAAACCCTGTTTGGTTAGATATAAGCTTTTTCAATAAGCTTCAGGCTTTCTTCCAATTTTTTCCAATTATATCCCTTGTATTTTTCCAATTAATTTTTCAACCTACCCTTTCATTTTACGTTGTTATCTCGCTTTATCAGCTAGTTTTTACAAAACAGAACTAGTTTATGAGCTAGCTTATCAACCAACAACTAGTGGCTATCAGCTAGCTTGCCAAATATAGTCTTTGTGGAAATGTGCTTACAAATGTTAATGGAACTGCAATAAACAGGAAGCTGAGAGACTGGCGGGACTGGCGGCAGCCGCTGATGTTGCATTCATGATGCAGGCAGGGCAGCATAGAGGTTTGCAGGTCACCATTGCACCAGGGCCTGCTGTTCCACCAACACCTGCAGTGATACCGGCTCAGGCAGTGGGACCTACCCACGAACCATTTCAATAGTATATATGCTTCCCGAGGTTGGACTACTAGCTTAAATATGCACACAGACAACCACGACTGAATTGTTGTCCTGTTGTTTTTTACCACACAATTTGCAGTATGACGAAAACTAAGAAGGGTTGCATCTTCTTCTCCTTGCTTCCCAATACGTCACTAAAAAGCTTTTACCAACTCGATCGTGTTCTGTAAACTAATCTTAACCGTCTATTTGTGCATATATTGCTGAAATTTGTGGCTTCTTTTAAAGCTTCAGTGATTTCTATTCAATTTGCTGTTGATTTTTTTGATACTTCAGAGCTCTTGATCAACTACTACTTTTAGCCCATCTGGTAATTAATACCTGTTATTAATCACAATTATAAGGATTTTAGGTTGCTTTTAATGGGGTTTGTAGTATGATTGCTTTATTCTGACAACACAAAAAGAAAAGAACATACAAAGGATCAAAAGAATGTGGGAAAAGAAGTGTTCCAAGTTTAGAAGTTTGAATAGATGGATTTTTGGAATGTCCATTGCTTGATACATTTCTATTTTAATCTGTCTTAATATATACAGTTTTACCCTTAATTATGGGAATTGTTTTATCTGTTATTAAAGGTAAAATTGTCATTTAATTACACATCTTAAAAACTGTCTTTTTGATTGTAGGCAGATTTCAAACAAATATAGAAAAGTAGGGGTGTTCAAAAACCTGATCAACCCGATGTCTAATCGAGTTGTAAAATTTTCAAACCGTAGGTATTGGGTTACTATTATTTGAACCCAACCCAACCCGATATCCATTTATTTCTTGAATTTAATATGATTGTTGAACTTTTATTAATATATAGACTAGACAATTACATTATCACGTACGCTATTCATATACACATCTTTTCAATCTATTCGCATCACTATATAACTCATTCGTATATATGTTCAGTAACTGTAAATATATATACATAAATTGAGAAAATTAACTGAATGTGATATACATAAGGAGTATGGATAAATTGTATCAAATGATTGATGATGAAAAAAAAAATTATGCGTAGAGAAATATTATATTCAAAGTTAGAAGAATATTTTATTGTACCAAAGTATCAACCCCACCAACCCGACTAACCCAACTAACCAGTACGGTTTGGGTTGGGTTGGATTATATTTTTCAAACCGTAAGCATTGGGTTGGGTTGTTCAAATGTCTTCAACCCGATCAACCCAACCCATAAGCACTCCTACATAAAAGCATAAAGAAAATGTACATTAAGCACAAGAAATCAAGACTCAGATCTATGTTTTGCTTGGATAAAAGAGCTTGGAATTCTCTGCTTTTTCTTTATCTTGCTTGCTTTCTTGCATCTGTAGCAATCTTCATAGCTTTAGCAGCCAATCCACCCTTCAATCTTTCTTTTCTTTTCTTCCAAAATTTGAACACTTATCCTCCATTCCCAAGATTTCTTGATGACATAAGTACTTGGATATAGAAGTGTGATGTTTTGGTAAAAAAAGAGTGTAAAAATGAGTAAAAACAGCACAGGGGACATTCTATAAAGATTCACATAATGGGTGCTTTACATTCAAACCTTGGATACATTTCCCTTTTTGCTTCCATGATTATGACTGAATGAATCTAAGATGTGACCCTTCTTTCTGCTTTTTCTACCTTTAAATTCAGCCAACTTCCATAAAAGATGCATTATATAATGCAACAGTTCTTCACAAACAGTCTTCATTTTCAGTCTTCAAGATCATGGGCACTGCTAATTGCAGGCTGCTGATGACCCTTATGGTTGTATCTGTCGTGTTTGTATGTATTCGGTCAGAAAGAGTTTACGGGCTTAGAAGCGTAGATCTTGCTTTGAGACGTGTTCTTGATGGTGTTTCAGCTGACGAACGGCTGAATATGGTGGCACCAACGCCTTCGGAGATGTTTGATCCAAATGAATCGAACAAAAGAAGGGTTCGTAGAGGGTCGGATCCTATTCATAACAAGTGTTGATGATGCCAACAAGAAAGTGGCCAAGATTTCTTGCCTCTGAATATAGAAGGTAGGTTTGTTTATTTCATTTGGTGCCAGGGTAAATACTTTAGGATATATAGATTGTAAAGTGTAATTTTGTTTTAGTTTGCTCTCGAAGATTAGCGGTTCGTTTTAACGGTTTTAGGTTCGCTTTTAACGGTTTTAGAATCATTTCTCACGTAACGTATAATATTTTATACAAAATGTGGAATTTTGATATTGCTTTAAGAAAACGAATTTAAGCGCTTTCGACTAACGGGCATGATGTCCGGAATAAGAACGTCTCCAATAAATTATTAATAATTTATTTAAATGAAGAAACAAAAGTCATAGTCTCCAAAAAAAAAAAAATACACTTAACTTTTATTTTAAAAAAGATTTCAAAATTCATTATATTATTAAAGTTAATATCCTAACAAATTTTATATGAAACAATAATATATTCAATTTCATCTGGTAAAAACAATAAAAACTGTTTCTTTCTTTTCAACATTTAATTTTTGGGAATTATCCAATTTACAGTTACATGCTTCGAAGTAGGGGTGTTCAAAAACCCGATTAATCCAACCCAACTTAATGTGAAATAACTCAATTCGAAGCAACCTAATGTCTAATCGAGTTATAAAATTTTCAAACCGTAGGTGTTGGTTTGATATTGGGTTACTATTATTTGAACCCAACCCAACCCGATGAATACGATATCCATTTATTTTTTGGATTTAATATGATTGTTGAAATTCTATTATATACTAGACAATTACACTATCACGCATGCTATTCATATACACATCTTTTCAATCTATTCACATATTTATATAACTCATTCGTATATATGTTCAGTAACTGTTAACATATATACGTAAACTGAGAAAACTAATTGAATGTGATATACGTAAGAAGTATGGATAAGTTGTATCAAATGGTTGATAATGAAAAATAAATTATAAGTAGAGAAATAACATATTCAAGGTTAGAAAAATAATTTAATGTACCAAAGTATCAACCCGACCAACCCGTACGGTTTGGATTGGGTTGGATTAATTTTTCAAGCCGCAAACATTGGGTTGAGTTGTTCAAATGTTTTCAACCCATGAGCACCCCTACTTCGAAGCATAAAAATTACACATTATTCATTAAAGGAGGTTCAAACAAGAACAAAGTCAAAATAATAGAACACGAGAATGCCGATATTACTTCCATTTTACTCTGAAATCATATGTTACGGCCAACTATGGCTGCAAACTAGGTCGCAAGCGAAGACCTCAGCACACCCTTGTGTTAACTGTGTCCGGTAATCACACGTGATTATACACTGAAATCACATATGACGTAGATGTTTTCGTGTTTTTATATTAACCATCTTCTCGTTTAAACCCAATTATTTAATCGTTTCCCTTGATCAAAATCAATCCAACAATTTGATAAATATTTTCACATTTTCCACCTCCCTCTTTTGAGTGCATTGGTCTGACCTTTCTCTATGACCCAAAAAGTCAAAACTTAACCACAAGAGTGGTGTCTGATTGGTTTGAGCTTGACTCCAAAGATCAAAAGTACCTGGAAGTCCCAGGTTCAAATCCAATGAGGAATAAAAATCGCCTTGTGAGTTGTGGCCACGAAGGGTTCAAATGCAGTGACTTCGGATTATCTGTAAAGCAGGTGGTCGCCCTGAGATTAGTCGGCTCGCATAGCAGGTTGGATATCCAGGTTAACAAAAAAAAAGTCAAAAACTTGACCAAGGTACAATCTTGAATGTATAATTTATAAGTTGTAAACATCATTACTCCTGAAAAAGGGACCATTCTATCATATACATCCCTAATCTTCAACATTTCAAACCTCATACTCTTTTATACCAGTTTAAGAACTTCTGTGACATCTGGTACCTATTTCTCCTGTGAATCTTATCATTTACAGAAGACACCTTCCGAAAAACGGCCTGCCAAATCATATCGACAGCATCACCATCGCGCGATGGATACTGGTACTCGAAATGTGGTGCAATTTGCTTCAATCTTTCCCACATTTCGCTCCACTTTTCTTTTCGAACTCCTCTAAGACGTTTAACAAGATACCCCTTTTTAGCAGCATCTGATCCACGAACAAAAATGGCGAACTTGGAGTAATCAAGAACGTCTTCAAATGGCAGCTCGATATCGTCACTGATTATAACAGGGACACAATGACTAGCAATGGCATCGAACAAACGGTTTGATGAAGGGGTGTCTCCTGCTATATTGAGGCAGAATTTGGAGGAAGCCATCCCTCGAGACGCCTTGCGGACCCCATATGAGGATGCGCTGCCGAACATGAAGTGCACGTCTTTTTCGTCTTTCAGTAGGTAGTAGAGTTTTTGACGAATCATTCCACCCTGTCAAGATAAATACTCAAAACATGTCAATATTGATGGCAATTCAACTTAATCCATACAGACAGCTTAATCCAATCTCCAACTGCTTAATCCATACAGACAGCTTAATCCAACCTCCAAAAAGTAATTGTATCCAAATCCAATATATGCTGAAACTTGAGCAAAATCTCTATTTTCTTTATTTTCAGAATCCATTTTGGAGATTCTGTTGGAAAGCTATGATGAAAAAACAACTGAACAGCAGCTGAATAGAAAGACAACAATGGAAATAACAAGAATGCAAAAAAGCTCACATCTTTCCTGTAAATTGCTCCTTGGAAATACACCAACACGGGCCGGTCATCGAAAGAAGGCGAATGGTTAGCATCAAGACGTCTAACGACATGCTTGTAAGGTGCAACGATGTCTTTATCAATATTTGCAATCTGAACAGGGTACCTTCCGAAATCGGCAAGCACCAAGATGGCTGAACCTAAGTGTTTTCTAGCTAAAAGCATACTATTCGGATGGTGAGCCATGATCAAATGATCTCTCCCTCCTGATCTTCTCCATTCATCCCTACCCTTCAAATATTCCACCAATCTCTCTTGCAAAACCTTGTCCACACTTTTCTTTTCGGTCCCATGAATCTTGGAATGCCGGTTGTAACTCAAAGACGAGAAAAACGGCACGAAAACGACATCCGCTTGAGTCGAGTTCCGAACAAGAATCGCAGTACAAGGTCTAGCCACATTTGGAGCAATCGAAGATAGAAGATCAAGAGTGAGCCAATACTCTATACTATGTTGCAAGTTTAATCCACCTGGGTATGAAGGGATTTCACTGGAATTACTAACATTAGGCCATACTCGATTTCGATCCCCTTTCCATCCTAATAATCCAAAGTGAAACTCAGGGGGTAAATCATACATAAACACTTTGAGCAGAGCTCGATTTCGATCACAAGAAGTCGCTGGTTCAATCGGATCCGATTTAAAACACGATTCTTTACAAGATTTGGGCACAAAAGGGGGAGATTTAGGCTCAATTGGCAAACCAGTTTCATCTAGTTTGATGTTTTTAGCAAGAATCAGACTGTAAATTGATCTGGGTACTAAAGAATTGTCACCAAATTGAAATAGGATTAATGAAGAAAGGATTAAGAACAATACTGAGACTGCAAATAAACATGCAAGAGATCGAGAAATAAACACACCCTTTTCAGGCACTGATGTCATTGCTTCAAAACGGGAAGAACCAATTGAAGAATTTAAATAGAAAAAAGACAACCAAATCCAGTTCTTATTTTCCAATCTGAAATCTGTATCATAAAGGGTAAACACCAAACACCCATTAAGCTAACTTTCAAGATTCAAAAATGGAGAAAGTTACTGTCTTGAAACTTGAAACCCTAACTTTGCTAGTTCCGCCATTGTTAACCAAGAAAAACCCTTTGAATCTGATGAAGATTCCCAGACACCAAGATTCAAGAACAGAGTAAAAAAGAACCTGGAGAACAGAGAATCCATGGCTGTAAGAAGAGCTTCAACTTTCATTCAAACAGATTGAAGAAACGATGAACATGAATCAAATGTCTGATTAAATAATCTGAGTCAAAACAGATGTCTGAAAGTAGAGGGATTAAAGACTCATAAAAAATCAAGAATCAGAAAGGAAAAATGGGAATGAGAATGAGAATCTTGCTTACAGATTGATGAGCTACCAAACACCATCCAAGTTAAGAATGTGATCAAAAGAGAATCCTGGTTTGTATTAATATTCCTTTTTTTTTATTTATTTAATTTTTGTTATTTAGGAAGAAGACATTTAATAACGTATGAATGCAGTGAAGATTTGGAAGTTATTCACTTGTTTTCCTGCTTTAAATTCATAATTAATTATTAAATTGACTAAAAAAATTAAAATATTATGATATATTTTGTAATTATTAAAATTAAATTGAAGTTAAAACTAATAATTAATTAATTAATTATTTTATTTATATGTGCATATTTATGATAATATTATTGAACGAATGGAGCCAAAATTTGAAGTATTTAAGGGACCCTTACGTGTCGGTCGTTGGCTCATTGGATGGGGAGAGCTCTACACCTGTAAAGACTAAGACACCTTACAAAGTATCTTTTTCATTGAATGCTATTTTTATATATTCAAAAATATAAAATATATTTGAAATATATTATTTAATGTTAAAAATGATACGAGTAAGAAGAGATTTTATGCAAATGGAAGTAAAGTCCTTATTATAATTAAGTTACAAAAATATTATTGAATGTTTTTTTAGGGGTAAACCTGGTAAGCATTTATTGGTAAAATTCAACACTATCGTTTACTTATCGGGTAAGATTTTATTCACCGAAATGCACCGTATGCAACAAGTTATCCCGGTAAAAGCTAACCATGGTAAGAGTTGTCGCCCTCAGTTACCGGGTAAGACTCTTGATTCTTACCGAGTAAGATTATTAGCCTTTGTCATATTCATCATTTAAAGTAATGTGACTTAATAATCGCTTACCCGGATAAAACAGGTGCACCTTCTAAAACAAAAAAAATAAAATAGTAAAGTTTTGTTATGAATAATAATTAGGAGGAATGGTATTTGTTGTGTAAAGTTGTTAGATCATCACTTTAATTCTTGCTTAAACTTTATGGTCAAGCAAAAGTGTTTTTTTTTTTGTGTGTGTTCCCCACCTAATTTCCCATTTTGTCTAATTTTTAGTTAATTAGGTATTTTTAATTTGTCCAATATAATATAAAAAATAAAACAAATTATATTATATTATATTATATATTATTAAATGGTTTAAAAATGATTTTAAAGTATGCTCAAATGTTTTATACCATTCTATATTGAAATGATTATTAATTTAATAATTAGTTTTATAACTATATTTAATATATTAATTATTTAATTTTTAGGAAAAAAATATTGAAGTTGGACCTAATCTGACCCAACTTATTCTGACATGAATTGAAATTTCAATCCGATCTCAATCTCTATCCTGTGTGTTTCGGTTTAGGCTTGAATCTTGCACATGTAGTTTTCTTGGTGAAGAGAAATGTTTCGGATTTTTATCTGTAATAGAGTTGGGATGATGTGAGAACAAGGGTTTTTTTGTGAGTTTCATAACACTAATTTTCAATTCTTAGATTAGATCTACAATCTTACAATCTGAACATTCATAAACGTTATGAGACTTTTCAATAATCATAAAATTGTCACCGTACAACTTTGGACCGTTAGATCATTAGCTTGTAAAGTTGATCGATTAATATAAATTGGTCTTACGGGTCTCACGAAAAACATTTGGTCTCACGTGAACCTAACCATATATATATATATAGGGGAACGATCAAACGAAAACCACTCAATTTGTAAAAACCGTAAAAACCTCATTCAACCAATCATAATTTTTCATTTTGTTCATTTTTTTGTAATTATGAGATGTTGATTAATCATTTTTATTGTGAAGCGTGTTAATCATGGATATTATCATCTTCATTATTTTAATTTTAGAGAAATACATGAAACAGTTTCATTAAAATTTTATTAAGTAGTATATGAAACAATTTCATAACCATATATGAAAAAAATTCATCAAAAAAAGTATTATATGAAACAATTTCACAAGATTAAACAATTTCATGAAAAAATTTCATAAGATTAAACAATGAAATCGACGGATGAGGGTGGTTTGCACGGTTTTTACTAATTGGAGTGATTTTCATTTGATCACTCATCTATGCATATATATATATATATGAGGTTTACTTTGCAAACCACGTTATTTGTACAAAACGTACAAACCTCATTCAACCAATCATAATTTTTTATTTTGTTCATTTTTTTGTAATTATGAGGTTGATAAACTATTTTTATTGTGGAGGGTTAAAATGGATGTTATCATCTTCATTATTTTAATTTTTAAAAAAATACATGAAATAGTTTCATTAAAATTTAATTAAGTATTATATGAAACAATTTCATAACCATATAAGAAACAACTTTATAAAAAAAAGTATTATATGAAACAATTTCATAAGATTAAACAACTTCATGAAAAAATTTCATAAGATTAAATAATTAAATCGACGGATGAAGATGGTTTGCACGGTTTATACAAATTGGATGGTTTGCATTTGATCGCTCCTCTCTCTCTCTCTCTCTATATATATATATATATATATATATATAACTCCTAATTTACGAGAATGTAAGAACATTTATGAGTCTTCAAATTATTTAACCTATAATTAAAATTAAAAGAAAATTAATCAATTAATTAAGGATAATCATATGATTTTGTATTTATCTGTAATTTTGGTGAAATCATTATCTCTAAAATTACCCACAGATAATATGTTAACCGGCATCAAATAATTATCACAACAAAATCACATAATGAACAGACAAAGTCATAAATGTAAACGTGATCATCGTTGGTTTTCGATTATCACAACATTATCATATTGCTATTACAACAAAAATCACAAAATATTACATGATTATCACATCATAAAAAATCATCAACTTATCAAATAATTATTACATTATTATCACGACAAAATTATATAATTATCACATTATTATCACATCATTATCAACAACAGACGTATCGACATAACAAATATTTGATAATAATTACAAAATGTAACAGATAAGGATAAATTCAAGATAACAGAAAATATGAATAATACTAATATTCAAATGCGAAGTTTTTTTTAATCATAATGGTTGAGTCGTTTAAAACTAGGGTTTTAATTTTCAACAAGAAAATAGTGTATATTGAAAACGAGGTTGGCATAATTGGACTAATTGCAAAAGTTGACATCTATTTGTTATATAAGATTTCTGATTTCATTTTTATAAAAAATTATGCACACAAAAACCACAAGTTTAAAAAAAAAAGTGTGATAAATGATTTTATTTTCTTTTTTAAAGAAATAATTTGAATAAAAAAACACAGTTTTAATCAAATGCAGATGAAAAATGATTGTTAGATAAATGTTATTCATGAAATTCTAAATGACAAAAAACAGTATCGTGTCTGGTGTTATTTAGTTTTAAAAAAAACATTTGATCTAAGATAATGGTAAAAGTTCAAAGACAGAACCACAAAGGTGGTTTCTGATTGATTTGAGTTTGGCTTCAAATGTCAAAAGTATCAGGAGGTCATGAGTTCAAATCTAATGAGGAATAAAAATCCCTTGTGACCACGAGGGTTCAGATACGGTGACTCCAGGCCATCTGCAAAGCATGTGATCGTCCTGGGATTAGTCGGCTCGCATAGCGGGTTGGATATCCAGGTTAATCAGAAAAAGAAGAAGTTCAAAGACAGCATTCAACATCATTAATAATTTAAATTATAATCAAACAATGGAACATAGCAATCTTGTTTCTAGCTTAGTTGGTAAAGTTTATGACGGTATTACTTAACTATAAGACAAGTCTCATGTTCAATCCTTAGGACCCCGTTAGGCTCAGTCGCTAAGTGAGCTAAAAAATGTTCCATCACGTTGATGTCCTTGGAGGCGAGTTTCGTATGAGGATATGTAACACCCCAAAAATGGGATGACAAAAATTTCCGAAGATAAATAGAAATATGGTATAAAAATATCAAGATGTGAGCTTTATCCAAAAGGGGGACAATACACACCTACTTAGCAACTTTGCCACTAGAACCTGAGATACAAGACAACAAAAAACAAGTGTTAGGTCAAAAAGTCTAGTGAGATCACACACGATAATTTCACAAGATAGATAAGAGTGATAATTCAAATATTACCTGAATCACAATAGTAGTACGGTACCCTGCACTACAACACAGTTGCCCCAACCTGGACATTATACACAAGAAACATCTCTCACGACCTGTTTCCATTAAGGTCGCGAGCAGGACACAAAAGTATTGGCATATAATGATGTCATAGGAACTACACCTCAGGTTCACAGTGCAACAACTCAAATTCACATTTGCATATAACCACATATTTCATATGTCATGAAATACAAATTTAAACATTTTGTCCCAATATATACAAAAGCCTATATTACAAAAGTAACTACCAATTTTTTCCATAAATACTCGGTACTAGATTTGTATATACATAATAAGTATTCAAGTACAAATAACATCACATCTTCCAATAATCTATATATGCAAGCAATCATGAATCTCTCTCTATGATTTTCCCTTTCCTTGTTGCTCTAGTTGAGCCTGACATGTAATGCACATTTTAAAAAACACCAAAATGTGGGTTAGACTATAAAGTCTAGTGAGAAATCTCTTCGAACCAACCAACTATTTTCCCCCACCTCATTCTAACACAACGACGTTCTACATTTTTTTTCCATACAGAACTTCATATGGTGCCGCTTGGATGCTAGAATGATAATTGTTATTTTAAGCAAATTCAATCAAAGGCAGATGATTCTCCCATGATCCCCCAAATTCGATGATACATGCTCTCAACATATCTTCGAGGGTCTGAATTATTCTTTCACTCTGCCCATCAGTCTGAGGGTGATATGTTGTACTTAGCCGAATATAAGATCCTATGGCTCTCTGAAAGCTCTCCCAAAACTTTGAGGTAAACCGGTTATCCCTATCTGAAATGATTGACAAAGGGTTACTGTGACGAGTCACTATTTCCTCGATATTTACATTTAACCACATATTTCATATATCATGAAATACAAATTTACACATTTGGTCTCAATACATACAAAAGCTACAATACAAAAGTAGCAACCAAATTTTCCATAAATATTTAGTACTAGGATGAAAATCCATATATGCAAGGAATCATGAATCCCTCTATAATTTCCCCTTCCTCTTTTCCATCAATTAAACCCGACCTGTAATGCACATTTTAGAACACCAAAATGAGGGTTAGACCATAAGGTCTAGTGAGAAATCCCTTCGATTTGCTATTATAGGATGAAAATACTAAAATACTTTTATAAAATTCATATTTGTATTAATAACAAATAAATAATGACTTATCACATAAAACCTTTTTTGTCGCATTAAAAAGATGAGACAACACCCATTTTTCGCTTCAAACAACCAAATAAACCATTTATAGCATAACACATGAACTTATCGCATCATATAGATAAAATCAAGAGCACACACACATAAGATTTTTACCTTCTTTTTTCCTTACTTTTTCACCGCCCCAATGAGATAAACAAAATATCTCATAAATTAAACATATAATATATAAGACGGCGGTGAGTTTAAAACATTTTAAACACATTATTAAAACAACCCCATCAACTTTCTGCCTTTTATTAAAAAAACCACCCAAACTTCATAACCAATAAACCTGGTTATCACACGCAGTTTTAGCGCACACCCCATTCATGGTGTCACCTTAAACCCAAATCTACTTTGAGTGTCTACTTCACAGAGTTTCATATAAAGGACTCTTGAACCTTAGTAGCCTACCCATTTCTTTAGTCAAGTTCCACCTTAAGAATCTCGTTGAACCTTTAGTGTCTACTTACAAACGTTCGAAACAGTCAATATTCATAATTGTCCCAATTATAGCACTTAATCCTCATGCATTAGAATTAGAGCTCTAAAGTCACAATATATGCATATATATATATATATATATATATATATATATATTTATATATATATATATATGTATATATATATATATATGTATATATATATATATATGTATATATATGGGTTGGTTCAAATACTAACCAAGATTATTGTGTTAACTTTGTTAACCGATCTTGGTCGTTGATTTGAACATCCAACGGTTGTCATTTATTGAGACTAAAAATTTAATTATTTAATTATCATATTAATAAAAAAATTAGGTTCACAATGGTTCAGAGGGTAGAATTGTAAAAAGTGAATGATCTTAACGTATCCTATTTTGTCAGTCTATTCTGTAACTTCCAATCAATAAAGAAACCGTCAATCTCATCGATCAATATCTTAAATCAGTAGCTAAAAATTAGGTTCATAATCTTCATCAAAACAATGGAGGATTTGGAAGGATTACCAGGCAACGGCATCCAGATAAGATTGAAACATGTGTGTGAACCTAATGAACAATTGAAACATGTGTGTGAACCAAATGGACATATTGTGTGAACCAATTGAACACATATGTGCACGAGTGAACACATATGTGCACGAGTGAACACATATGTCGACGTTTGAGTGAACATGTGCGTGAACGGTTTGATCATTTTCTTCACATTCGGAATTCGAATTCCGAATGTATTCGTAGACGCTTTTAGCTTTTTCATTCTCATTGTCATCGATCTGTTTTACTCTATGATTATCCACATTACTCGGACTATAACAGAATCTTTACAAAAGGGATTTTTTGAAATTTACAATATCAAAACCATTATAGGAATAATGAAATGTAAAAATCAGTAAGATGAACAAATGTGAAACTTTATGTCATTATTACATGAAGATCAATTAGTGATATTTTAATATTTGTAACTCCCAATTAAAATATTGGGGAGCTTTTCCCGGGAGTATGGCATGGGTTACTTCAGCGCCGTAGCGCCTGGTACTCGAACATTGGCTCGAGGCATTTTCTCTACCCCTTCTTACCCTGAAAAAGCAGGGTCACCTTACGTCCTTGAACCGATAACCATCTTTCGGCTAACCTAGCCTCCTCCGTCCCTCGGGACCAACAAGGGGTAGTACAGGAATATTCACATGTTGTCCATCGACTACACCTTTCGGCCTGATCTTAGGCCCTGACTCACCCTCCGTGGACGAACCTTGCGGAGGAACCCTTAGGTTTTCGGGGCATTGGATTCTCACCAATGTTTGCGTTACTCAAGCCGACATTCTCGCTAAAATGACAAATTATCTAAATACCCTTACACTTAATATGTGAGTTACATTTGAACCTAACTAAAAGATGGAACATGATTGGTTGATGTTGATTAGCATAGTTAACACAAAAAAATGGGTTAGTATTTGAGCCAACCCCCCTCTCTCTATATATATATATATACATGTATTCTCCATGAAGATTCAACATGCGAACTCAACCATTTATCCATACTCACTCCTCATTTATACTAACATACATACATACATACATATACATATATAGAGAGAGAGAGGAGGGATCAATTCCAAACCATCCTCATTTGTGAAAACCTTACAAACCAATCTCATCCATCCATTTTCTTGATCAATGGTCAAGACTAAATAAGTTTATATTAGGAAACAAAATAAAAAAAAGTTTAATTTTTAATTGAAAAAAGCGCAAATCTGTAAAATTCCCAATATTGGAAGGTAATAAATACTGTTAATTTTAGAAACGTAATAATGGAAACGTTTCATATAGAATGAGGTAAATCATTTCTTCTTAATATAAATGTTTTACCATTAATATGTTTTATTATTTTTTACCATTATATTTTATAAAAATATGAATTTTAAAAGCAGTAGAATATGAAATCTGTGTTCCGTTTCATTGAAAAAATATATGTACTTTGAGTAGTGAAACTAATTTCATGTTCAATAATGAACAACAAACAATTTCACAATATTTCGGAACGTTTTATTCATGAAAAACGTTCATTAAATAAAAAAATATTCAGTTTTCAAAATGTCTCATTAAATTTTTAAAAATGTTTCATCGTTCAACACTACATGACAATCGGTCTTTCTTTAATGGCAGCCACGTGAGTTCGTTTTATAAACGGTGAAACAGTTTCGTTCATTGATTTAATGATACAAAATATTTGATTTAGTATTCAAAGTGTTTCATTATTTTTAGTTGATTATAGTATGTTTTATATTTCATAATTTATTGTTGATTCATTGGGTAATTTAGTTTCTAATATATCCGTATATCGATACATCATATATGGTTCATGCACGTCAAGTAATCATCAATTTTACAAAACAATTCGTTTGTTTATCGAAACGTGACACGTTATTACATCCACAAACAAGTCAAGTCGAACTCGAACACGACTCGATGCTCTTAGCATAAGCTAAAATGAGCATTCCATTATTCAACAAGTCTTGTTCATAGCAAGTTTGATCTAATTCTAATTCTCATTCAAGAAACAACTCCAAAATTTTCCACAAAGTTATAAATTTGAGAAAGAGACTCTTAACCAAAAGATGTTAATGCATAAATAAAATTGAGTTTGACTCGACATACATCCGATATCATCTATGTACTCGATACTTGTAAGAAGTTTGACATCAATCAACCTTGTATAAAGTTTCAACTCTAATTACTCCATGAAAATCCGTTTTAGGGGCTGTTTACTTGCAGCTTAATTAGGTTTATTGGTCTATCTGGCTTATTCGCACAGCTCATTTGGGTTGTTTACTTGCGGCTTATTCGCACAGAACATGGCTTAATCGCACAGATAGAAATGGTGTGTTGTCCCCATTCAGCAACAAAAATGACACTCCTGCCCCTTATTTAAAGCACCACCTCCGTCCCATATGAGACACCCCATCGTCGGCGTCTCTATGATTTTTTGTTTTGATGTTCAAATAATTAATATTGAGAGGTAAATCGGTCATTTATGTTATTCAGACCGTTGATTCAGATAAAAAAAGTAAACAACAACACTTATTTAACCAGACAGACAAATTTATCCGGCCAGGACTTAATAAAAAATGAGTTTGTCGATATATGTTTCTGTACCACGAGTATCTAACCCGGCTTGTATGCATTTGCATTAATTTCATGACCTCTGAAGTTACCTGTCAAACATTTGCTTGTTAAGGCATCAAATAGTCCGAGAGTTTCCGAATTTGTTACAGCCAAAATGGAATCCTTGAAATAACTCATTCTACTTGTACATTGTTTAATGCAAATATGTGAAATAACAAGCTACCAGTTTCAGAACAAGCATTCTAAATCACAATTTGAAGATAAATCATTACCGCATAAGGATCCCGAGTTCAGGAAATGTTATCAAGAACCCACGTACAAAACTAGCACTACTATCGTCAATAAGCTCATAAAAATCCCACCTACAAGAACGTTATCAAGAAGACCCCAATCACGATCACGCACATTGCTTACAGCAAGTTTATGATTCCCATTATCTTCTAATTCCACCATTGGCCGTAAAGGTTTCTTTCGCAACAATAAACCTCCAAGATTTCGGCCATTTTCAACTTCTGGGTATGAGTCATTTTCAGCAATATTGCAACAACCATTGGGTTCACAAGCATCAGATTCACAAGCACAAGGTTCTGGCTTTGCCAATGAACATCCACAAGTATCTTCTACGCACTTTGCTTTGTTGTTTGTATCCTTTTTGTCACTTGGACTTGTGACCCCACTTCTATCATCGAGGATCTGGATGATGTCCCCAAAAACGGACCACCGTCCAACTGAAGTTATCTTTATCATTGCTGAAGACCCGAGCAAACTTTCGGGACCGACAACCAGAACCTGCACATATCCCTTGGTGTGGCCGACCTAAAATAATTTTACAAAAGCACCATATAAGATGAAGAAACGGAACACAAGTTCAGATAATGGGTTGGGTTCCCGTAAGAACTCAAACATACGCTAACATTTCATGTTAAGGTATATTAATGTATGCTAACATATGTGAACCTCAAGTAACAAAGTGGTCCCTACGATTCCCATACAAAAAATGTTCCTACACGATCCAAAATTCCCAATTCTAGACAATAGAGATGGCAACAGAATGGTTTTCTGTGAGACCCTGCCTCACCCCGACCAATATGGACAACTAGAATACATATCGCATGTCCCCAAACTCCATGTCCAACGAGTAACATCTGACACCTCGTTACTTAATTGAAGAGAGAATAAAAATGAATTAATAAAAGTAATGACTTGTCAACAGAGTAAGATTTGTGTTCTTCGATAATACATCATCCTTTGAGAAATAACACATTAAAGTATTGCTAGAATTGTTGATTTGGAAAAAGGATTGGATGATTTTATGTTATCAAGTTGGATAAACTAGTTATATAAAGATGTCCTGAAATTCTTGCAAAATGGTAGCATGAAATATGTTCTCAAAGTACAGACTTACCAAGTGCATTTCATCAGTTGCAATATCAGTAATCCATATCCTCTCGACATTTCCTTCCATAGCATCGTAAGGCGTAAACGATTCAAAGACTGAAGTCAGTTCACGACTCCGTTTCTTCACTATATGACTAGGCACCTTCTTCATCCTTGCAGCCGGGGTTCCTTCATTCAGAATTATCATAATATAGAGAGAAATACGTGTGATGACTAACCATAAGTAAATGCTCAAAAAATCAATAAAGATGCTAGATAATAGTACAAGACAAACAAGCCACTCCTATTGCATCGTCTTTTTGAGACAAACTGCCAATAACATTCCGGGATAAGAACAATAATTATCACCAGAATCCATATATTTATCCAAGCTTACCATCTCTAGTGTTTCATTCAAAAATATGTTGAAAGAAGGTTATTTACTAGTCTTGTAACTGGATCAGGAGAGGATTTGTTGTTGTGATGGTCTTCAAGCCAGGAAGTAATTATGTACAGTGCGTAACGTAATTAATTTTGTGAAACCGGAGATACATCTGTGGAAGCAAAATCAATTATGGCCCTTGGAGGTGAGATGGGCTAGGCCATGTTGATATTTAGGGTCAAAAGAATCTATCTATTACCATGGGAAAAAACCTTAAGTATATAACAGAATAGCAAATAGTCATATAGTCATGTATAGAAAGAACTAATTACTTTGCAATGTACTTTTCAGTAGAATACACAGTAGCAAATAGGTTCTTGAGTTGTAACCCAATCAACAAAGTAAGCAACAGCCTGGTCTGGTGGAAGACCGAGTTCAGAAAATGACAAAATTCTTTCTTCGAGTTAAATGACTCCTTTGAAAGTGACTTCTACAAACTAGCATTATAGTGGCTTTTTTCAAGTTTTTTTTAGGGCAAGATGTTTAACACCAGAGGCAGGTCAGTTGAAGTTTGAGGTCATTTAGCAAAATGACTCGGATTTACATAGAAACATATAGAAGGCAATCAGCAAATGCAACCTTGAACAAAGGTCCACACAGCATTAAGCAAATGCAACTCATTTGGGTGTTGCTCTGCTGACAAAGCCAATCTTGCTGCAATAAATTTAAGGGGTTTTAGCTTTACACTAGTTAAACATTCAAAAACTCCTTTACAAAATGCTAAAATCACTATTCACTCCCCAAACCCTGTGCCAACTTTTTCCTCTTAACAATTTTATACCAAACTAGCTCATAGATATTAGTGCAGTATCATACCCAATGTCTCTCTACTTCAGTTACAAACAGTAAAAGGTTATTTTTCTTAATCAGAAATATTAATAACGAAAAAAGTGATTTATTGAAATTTATGGTTTTTATTGGCATATTGTCATTCTCCTCAATTCATCTTAGTCTGGCTGACACAACCGAATTGGTCGAGGAAAAGGAAAGCCCAGCAACCAAGCACTCCCGTCCAAGATGAGAAACAATTCTCCCTTGGTAGCACAAGGTTATCCATTTAGTGAAGAAAAACTGTTACAAGAGAAATAACAAGAAGCTAACCCAGAAGACAGGAAGGAAATTATGGGCGAAGGGGTAACCCAACACTAAGGGGCCATTTACCAAATGCTTACCCAGGTAAGCGCTTACCAAGGACTTACCTTACCGGATGAATATGGGGCAAAGGATCAAGAATCTTACCTGGTAAGAGCGAAGGCAAGGACCGAGAGTCTTACCCGGTAAGTGAGTGCGATGTCTCTTACCATGATTAGCTCTTACCACGTAAATTGTTGCCTACGGTACCGTTTTGGTGGACTAAAATCTTACCCGGTAAGGAAGTGATAGTGTTCAATTTGCCGGTAAGCACTTACACCGGTAAACGGGCCTCTAACACAATAGAGCTAGACGAACCTCTGTCAATACTTTCCTCTCATGACGGAAGAGTGCATCATTCAAATTTCATGGCACATAAGTGAAGGACTTTCATGTAAACCTCTTCACAAGGAGAGATAATCACTTCGAGAAATTCAAGAAACTACCTGTTATCTTAATGAGCGTGAAAAGCTAAACAGGACCACATAATGAGACAAAGGTATATATATATAAGGCCATGTGCGGCAATTGTTCTCCGGTCTGTAAAAGTTTGACACTATATAGAAGAGTATTATGGTTTTTAAGTGTATAAGAGAAGGAAATACCTGGTCGAGGATAGAATTGAGAGATATGAACTTGGGAAAACTTGTAGTCCTTGATTAAATCAACTGTTTGAGCAAAATCTTCATCTGTTTCACCTGAATACCCAATCAATTTTTTTCAGTTCACATGGACATTTTCTAATAGTATGCAGATCGAAGTTTATACAGATGCTAACTGGGTAGGTAATACTTGTGACAATAAAATCAACATGATGATATTACATACTTGTTGGAGGAATCTTGTTGGAAGAGTTAAAAACAAATGTTGCCACAAGAAATAGCGATGAAGCTAAATTTAGATCTCATGCACAAGGGATTTGTGAGGCAATACAGATCAAGAGGTTCTTAGAAGACTTAAAGATCTCTTTTCCAATACCTATGAAAGTTCACTACCACAAGAAAGATGCCATTTCGATTGCTTATAATTCAATCCTACATGATAGGTCTAGCACATAGAAGTTCACAAATACTTGTTCAAGGAGAAACTTGAGAATGGTTCAATTTTGTGTTCCTTATCTGCCAACTACTCAACAGACAGCTGACATTCATACAGAAGGTTTACAAAAGAGAAAAATTGACTTCTAGGCAATGGAAGACATCTACAAGCCAGCTTGAGGGGAGTGTTGGAAAGAAGAATATTTAGTGAATATATATTATTCTATTGTGAATATAGTACATTGAGTCAATCCCATAACCTAAGGATTTTAATTTTAGATGATTGCTAGAATTAGGATTTAGGTAGAGTGATTGATTTTGTATGGCTAACTTTCACAGTGTAGTTCCCTTGTAGTCTTGTATATATGTAATTAGTGTAATGGAGATCAACTTTTTCTGCTCAAATTTCTCAGAGTTGGCAGGTTTAAACATAGAGAGATTATCCGGGCAGATTCCAAAAGAAAAGCAAAACAAACACCAAGAACTTAGTGACAGGGTATACTTTGATGGGTTCTTACCAAAATCGCCAGTCTACAAGTCGCCTTTTACAAATTTGACAAAACTCAAAAATTCTGCAGCCAAGTTGACAAATATTTACAGTTGATCTATAATAAACTGCATCCAGGTCAATTCACCACAGAATGACATGGCTCTTCAGGCACCGTATGTGGAATATTTTTGTTCCAAAATCAGACATATACACAACCAAAAGTTGATGTGTTTTTGATAATTGAGGATTCAAGTCATTTATTACTGCTTTGGACAAAAAAATGCAACATAGTGAACTTATTATCAATATAAATTACCATAATATGATTCAGTCGCAAGAAGACCAAAATGATTCATCAGTGAATGCACAATAAACAACTATTAATGGGGTAACAGAACTTGAGATTGGTGAAAGTCAACTCATAGGTTGGTCTTTTGGTGAATATGTGTAAAGTAGACCAAAGTAGGAGTTCTGATCATCTTTGGTAACTGATACTCCATTTTTTCCGTTAACCAACTAAAACCAATGTCACCTAATTCATGGTATTCATGGTGCGGTGCAGGTAGCCATTAGTTTGTGGTTTCTCAGGGTAGTCTAATTCAATATTCCATGTCGAACATGGTCTATTAGATACTGGGGCATAGAAGAATAAATATGTCAACAAATAGTTGAGGAGCAGTTATGCATATACAAAAAAGGCGTAAAATCTTTAAAAAGCTAGTAGGTAGTATTTATTTAAAATAAGATAATCACATAGAATAAGAGAAGTTGGTCTCGGTTCTGAATCAACCCACAAATATTGACTGTTGAATACATCCAGATAAAATAAGGACACCGTGTTTTATAAAAGAAATTCAACAAAGTACTTAAGTCTGATATCTTGTTCACAGACTGACTGAAAGTCGCAGCATTTAGCCTTTGTTTTCTTTTGTTCATTTTGGGTTCAAATAAAGAAACTCAGACTTTGAGGTACATATTCTTCAACCAAGAGCCTTGTGCGCTGATTAATATGTAGGAAGTCAAGTACAACATGCCACCACTAAACCCAAGTCTTTTAGTGGTTCACAACTGACCACCCTTGTACCTAATCAAACATATCCTCCAGAAATGAATGTGTTTTCTCAAGTATGCAACGGCATTTTGCACATTCAACTGGTAATCAAACCTATTTTTTAATACTTGTATATGTATAGTTTATTATTGCAATTTTATGGAAAGGATATATAAGGGGTCCATGACAAAAGGAATATGTATGCTAACCAGGAAATCCACAAATAATATCAGTTGCAATCTGCATCCCAGGAACAAGTTCAGTCAACGTATCCACTACCTTCCGGAACTCGCCTACTGTATATTCTCGATTCATTGCCTGCCATTTAGCAGCAACAAAGTAATCACATACTTGTAACTTGTGATGTAACCTTATTGAAGTCAATTACATCTCTGTCTACTTGTATCATCACTTACAGTTAAGATAGCATCACTCCCAGATTGAACGGGTACATGAAGAAATGAATAAACACAAGGGTGACACAAGATTTCGGCTATCTCCTTCAAGTGCTCCAGAATATAAGGAGGGTTAGTCATCCCAATGCGGAGCATTGTGCTCCCATTTGTAGGGAGTGCTGAGACGATTGCATTCAACAAAATTGGAAGATTTACTCCAATATCACGACCTGTGAATACACACAAGCCAACGGAAAACTACAATTATTTCATTTATTAATAAGCTTAAAACTGCATGACTGACAGATGGATGGCTTCAACAGTCTCTGCAAAATCAAAGCACACTGCTGTTTAAGGGCTATACGTGAAGAATATTACTGAAACAACATTGGTTATGACTCATGAGTTTAGTTAATTGTCCAGTAAGTAACATTGCTCCAAATATTGATCATAAGTTTCTCCCCACTTGCCCCCCTCCTGCCTACCCTTTTCATAAAACAGAGCAACATTTGGATCCAAAACGCCGAATATGATCATAGACCTTTTTATAAGCAGCTGGTCAGAAATTACCTCAGCCATTATTTGCATACTCCGTTTAGTACCATTATGTTTTAAACATTAGAGCAAGAAGTGAAATGTGTGACCGTTCCGAGGTAAAGAGTTGCTAGGAAGTCATGCTTAAACATGGAAAGTAAAGAAAATATTCTGAATTCAAATGGAAAGGAACCACAACGGCGGTGCCTAATTGGTTTGAGCTTGGCTCCAAAGGTCAAAAATACCAAGAGGTCCCAGGTACAAATCCAAGGAGGAATAAAAATCCCTTTGTGGCCACGGAGGTTCAAAATCGGTGACTCCGGACTATCTGCAAAGCAGGTGGTCGCCCTGGTATTAGTCGGCTCGCATAGCGGGTTGGATATTCAGGTTAATAAAAAAAATGGAAACGAGATCTATAGTCGCACACCCATGCAACACTTAGTTTCTTACAACTATTAGAGTTTTCAGAGAAAATTAGATTTTAGTAGTTATGTTATGTTTATTAGTCTAGTTTTTCCACAAATGATTCTTTGCATATTTGACAAAAAATTCTCCCATCCCCCTTCTGCATTTATATAATATATCAACATGGAGCCATATTTTGATGGTAAAGGTTGAATATATGTGTTCTTGGCGTGAAAATGCAAATATACTTATGAAGGACCCTTAATCTTTATAGAATGTCCATAATGATACAACAGTATTTATATACTTCATTTGGTAAAAATACAAAGACTAATTAGAAGGGTTGAACAAACAGATATACTTAGAATTTATTCACGTACTGTATTATTAAAATCAACAGCATTGAAGCGTATGTATGCATAAAGAATCATTGACACTCATTTAAACAACCATCTATTAGCAGGCATCAATTAAAAAGATGCTTAAAATCAGAAGGGGAAGGGCCTAAAGACAAACATTTCTGGATTTACTAAACACTTGCAGCAAAATCAGTCTGCTCCAGCTTCAATGAACCGTGAACCTTGCTGCGACTTACATCAAACAATGAAAACCCTTAGTGTCATCGACATAGGGGCCGAGGATAACATTTCATTAAAGCTGATGTACTTCAGCCAAAGGTGATGTGTCAAGGTTGTGCATTGATGGATATTGGGCAAAGCCCAAGCACACAAAAAGAAGCATTCGTGTATTTTTAAATCTTCACTTTTTGTTGCCTACGTTTATTGCTCGTGGCGCACTACAGCAATGTCTCAATAGATCAGAGATTATATTTTTCATCTTTTGTCCAGAAGTCATTCTCATTCAGTCTCCTAGCAAACACCATCTTCTTGCTCCCAGAACACGGTCAAAGACGTGGCCACTAAGTTACATCCCTAAAATTAATGGCCAACCCTAAAGTAGTGGGAATGCATAGTAGTAGGTGTAATCCCTTGAATTGAACCATATAAATTGGGAAGATGGTATCATGCAGTTACAAGAAGATGTGAAAAAAATATCTTTCTAGAAATGTCTCTATAAATAGGAGACTCCATTCATCGTATCAATTAAAAGAGACCCATGTGTCCTCTATAAGAGGCTCCAAGTAATCAAGTTGCACGACCTTAAGTAAGAGATGCTTCAAAGAAGAAGAAAGAGCATAAATTGGTACCATATGCCCCAGTGTCTTCACTGCTCAACCAAATTTCTTTGACTCCATCATTTACAACACTTTTGACACGTCCCACCTGCAGTTTTGAGGATTCCTTATAAAAAATTAACCAGTTTAGTAACTCAGTAATGAACTGGCGTTAAGCCAGGGTAATACTTACAAGGCTGTCAACCGTATAGCTTCCTAGATGACCTCGAGCATGCTTCGTCTTGCAATAAGTGCAAGCCCCCAAACAACCGACATTTATCGGAAGAATTTCTACATATTTGTTCTTCCTTACCTGTTGAAGTCATGCAGATTAAACCCAGGACTCCAAAATAAATAACATTCGAACTTTGTCTATATCATGTAAACAAATGTCATTTTATTCTTTGATGGCAAATCCTGCAGTAAATGTTAGTGTAACAACTAACAAACAGATAAACAATACCTTAGGAAGATCGAGTGCTGGGAGAGTTTTGCGATTCAATAGTCGGACCTCATGCCCTTTAAGGGTCTCCTCAACAACCTCTACGACCCGATCAATTTGCTGAACTCCAACCACACTGACACCTTCAAGCTCTTTCAGATCCCGACTTCCTTGTGGCACACATCCTGCCACTACAAGTGGCTTTTTTGCACTTTTACATTTTGATATCAATGTGTCCATGGCTGACTGGCTTGGGGATTTTACTGTGCAACTGTATTATAAAACATTACACATTTGAAGTTCACATATTACATTGATTGAAGTGACTTTGAACTTGTACACATTCCAAAATGCCATATATTGACTAACAGTTTTGTTAAGCCATGACTAACATATGATGAGCAATTTGGATTTCATATTCTTACTCATGAAATAACATTATATACCTGCATCCCTGTTTTTTACTTCTCTCTTCTCGTCTCTTCTCATTCACACATTTCACTTGCTTGGTTTTTTTAGTATTCTGCACATTCTCTTTTATGTAAGCTATGAATGTTCACTGAATTATTTTCTTTCTGGTGATATAGGAAATCAAGAAAATTGCAGTGTGCAGAATTAATAAATAGAAAAAGCTAAGTGGGATCTTCACATATTGCATTGTGAAATTGCTCAAGAGGGGCAATTAGCTTATTGTGTACCGCAGAAAGTGATATACACCGATAGTTAAAAGTCAATTTGACCACATATCAACTTCAAAGTTGATCTCAGTACTAGCCAAGGGGACTTGGATAATTTGCTGACTTTTTCATCACAGGAAATCACACCCAATATAATTTTAAGCTACAAAAGTTTTCCCTTGAATCACACATGAAACTGTAACATAATAATACCGGAATGCAATCAATGCACACATAAAGACATAGGTTAAGAGTTCACAATCTTCTTTCTTCGTCATTAGACTACTCTTTGTTCTTCAAAGACTACTCCAGAAAAAAGGCTGAACCCAGAAATCAAGTGGATGCAGGCAAAGTCGCGGACAGTCATCCACTCTCAATCTGTTTTTCCCTTGCCTGTCCATCTGCTTTTTCTTCTTGGACATCAATGTTCTACATTTATCCTCCACTTTAGGTTTCAATCTCACTCTCTCTATAGATGTGAACTCTAGCTCCTTCTTATCCACCTAATCTCACAGTTAAATTACTGCATTACAAGAGCGCCATATGGCAAAATAAATCCAAATTTTGGCTTCTGTTACATGCGTATTTTGTGTGTGCTGTACCTAAAATCAAAATCTGGAGGTCATGGTTTGTACAACTTACAACAGAAAACGTTATTTTTAGCAAACTTGATATCTCAGATTCTCATCACATATAAACTGCTCTTCCACGACCCATAGCTCCTGCTTCTCTAACTAACTTGGTACATGCACACATGGTGAGATTATCTGAATTAATGTGACGGACTCGGTCACTCGGCTTAAACGAGAATCATTGAACAACTGTGTCAACACCAGTTAGGCTATGCAAGAGAATGATTTTTGTTATTTCTGCTAGGGACACACCATATGTGCATTTGACGATTATGCCTATACGAGTTGACCTCTAGATAGTAATTTCAGAAGGCATTAAAATTGTGACATATGATATCAAGAATGGACCAAACAATTAACCTATTAGTAAAGAGATAAGATACGTAGATACATGTATACATACCATTTGGGCCAACTCTAGAAAAAATAAAGTAAGACAAATGCATTAAACCAAACTAATATTGACTACTACCAACACTCCTTAAGACTTAAGTTGGACGATATTTAATATCAAATATGCCCTACTTCTCACAAATAAGATGAATCATAGTCTCTTGAAGAGCCATGGACAAGATACGTGCATAGCACAAAGTTGAAGGTACAAAGATTGGCTCAACATAAGGGTCTTAACAACCAACAAACACCTTCTCACATACAAATGACAGTCAATCTCGATACATTGTGTACATCCGTTAAATCTTTGGCTAATGCAAAACTGCAAATGTGCATAAATGCACCATTATTACTACATCTTCAACAGTAAGGAGAAGAATTGTGTTGACTCCTTAAGCAAGCAACAAATCCAAGGGTGGAAGATGTTCAGTGGAGTAAATGTTTGACTGTGTAAGGTTTAAGTTTCCATGAAACACACCACGACGTGCGTACCATCATCTATAGTTCACTTTCAAGGGACTACAATTCAATTTCAATGTCTTAGATTTCACAATATGTTGTCAATTTCACCATCTTAGATATTATATGTTGAAGTTCAGAGTATCATCAAGGGAAGAAGTTAAATATATCATTAACTATTAGAATGTAAATATTGTATTTATTTGCTTAGGCTCAGTTAGCTCATGGGCCCTTAGGGTTTCTCTTTTTCTAGGTTTCTTGCCTATATATATCCTTGTACTTTCATTGTAAAATATAAGTTCATCAATAATATAATCTTTGATTACATGGTATCAGAGCCAGGTTTAGGGTTTTGGAGAATTTTTATAGTAAGCACCAGTTTTGCGGCTACTCATCGGTTTTCTTGCACTCTGTTCATCAGCTTTTTTGGCACCCTGTGAGTGTGCCATTCTCTTTCTGGTTTGCTATCCTTTGTCCTAGTTCAACGTTTTATTTTCTGGTTCGTGATTTAATGGACGATGACTGGAGAAGACAAACCATCTGGCAGTAACAGTGGTTCATGTATACTCGAGATGCTTCCAATAAATGCTAGACTCACCGACAACAAGCTTAATGGCTCCAACTTTTTAAGTGGAGCAAAACTATTTGTATCTATCTCTAAGCATGGGAATGGATTCTCATCTCACATCAAATCCTCCTCAAGGTGATGATTGTGATTTATGGTTACAAAGTGATGCTCGTTTGTTCTTGCAGATTATCAATACTATTGAGCCCTTATGTTTCGTCTCTGGTTAGTCAATGTGAATACCTGAAGGAACTTATGGACTATCTTTATTTTTTATATTCTGGACAAAGTAATCTCTCTCGACTCTATAGTGTTTGTAAGTCCTTTCATCGTGGACGATAACATGACCAATCACTCACTACTTATGTCATGGAGTTCAAAAAGGTATATGTAGAGCTTAATTCTCTTATTCCATTAAGTGTTGATGTCAAAGCTATGCAAACTCAGAGGGAACAAGTGGCAGTGATAAGTTTCTTGATTGGTTCGCGACTAGAATTTGACTCTATAAGATTCAGTTCTTGAATGAATCTGCTATTCCTTCTCTTGAGGAAACATTTGGCCGTCTTCTTCAGAATGAATGAGAATCTTCGGTCCTCCCAAACTTCTAATCACAACAGTGCCCTGGTTAGTCGAGGGGGATTCCATGTTGGCTCCCGAGGAGGACTTCGTGAGGGTTACAGAGAGGGCTCTAGAGGTAGCCACAGTGACCGAACAACTGACTTACGGGCTACTGTTCCAGATTCTGATGATGTTGAGTGTTACTACTGCCATGAGTTCGATCACACCAAGCACACATGTAAGAAGCTTTTGGTCAAAAACCAAAGAAGCTCCGCCGAAGAATATGCTCGACTTTTAGGGACTGAGAACTCCACTGTTCCGACTGTTGCATTTGCTGAGACAGGTATCCCTAGTACATGCCTATTATCTTCTGCCTCCAAATAGGTCATTCGTTCAGATGCTTCAGATCACATGATAGGTCCCACCCTCTTCTCTAATTTCAATAAACACACGTCCCCATCACATGTCACCATTGTTGATTCCTTGGTTTGGCACCATCGATCTTGCCCTACCCGTTTCGTTATCTTCCAAATTGAGCCTACCTAATATCTCGTTCAATTTGTTATCAGTTAGCAAAATTACTCATGCTTTAAATTGTTGTGCCTTATTCTTTCTTGATTCTATGTCTTCCACGATCTGCCGACGAAGAGGATTATTGGTAGAGAGCGGGAATCTAACGGCCTATACACATTTGAACATCAAATACCTTACTCATTGACTTGTTCCAGCTCATCGTCTCTATTTGAAGTTCATTGTTGATTAGCTCATCCATCCTTACAGAATCTGAAGAAGTTGTGTCCTGAGTTTTCTTATTTACCTTCTCTACAGTGCGAGTCTTGTCAGTTTGCCAAACATCAGCGTATTCATTTAAATCCTAGAGTTTGTAATAGGTAGGCTTCATCCCCATTTGAGTTAGTCCATTCTGATGTTTGGGGACCATGTCTTGTTACTTCAAAACTTGGGTTTAAATATTTCGTTACGTTTGTTGATGATTACTCTCGCACTACTTGGCTTTACTTCATAAAAAATCGATCTGAGGTATTTACACATTTTTGTTCACTCTATGCTGAGATTAAAACACAGTTTCAAGTCTCCACTCAAACTCTTCATAGTGATAATGCAAAAGAATATGTCTCAAACAATTCAGTCATATATGCTTCAAAATGGTATTCTTCATGAGTCTTACTGTGTTCACATACCAGCCCAAAATGGGGTTGCAGAACGGAAGAATCGTCATCTCTTAGAGGTGGCTCGGGCTCTATTATTTCACATGATTGTTCCTAAATTCTTCTGGGTTGATGCTATTGCTACCGCTTGTTTTCTCATCAACCAAATGCCTTCGTTGTTTTAGATGGTAGAATCCTTTCTCAATTATGTTTCCTACAAAACCATTGTTTACAGTCGACCCAAAGATCTTTGGTAGTACCTGTTTTGACCATGACACCCGACCACACATAACTAAGTAGGATCCAAAGTCTCTGAAATGTGTCTTTCTTGGTTATTCTCGACTTCAAAAAAGGTATAAGTGCTTTTATCCCACACTTAGTCAATACATTGTATCTCGAAACATTACATTCCATGAGAATATACCCTTCTCTCCTGTGTCCACTCCTTGCAACCCAAGAGATAGTGATGATTTGTTGGTATATACCATACTTGTTCCCGAGTCTCCTACCCTCTGACTCGACACAGCCTCAAGAACCTACTAAACCACCAATAGTTCATGCATATAATAGGCGGTAACGACCTACATCAGATCTCGACCCAATACCATCTCCGTCATCGTATGCAAATCCACCTAATGATGATCATCTTGCTTCGAGTGATCCACCACCTTCCAATGCACAAGATCCTGATCTTGATGTTCTCATTGCCCTTCGAAAAGGTAAGCGCTCATGTACATACCCTATTTCTTCTGTTGTTTCATATGATAAACTTTCTTCACATTGTTGCTCTTTGATCTCTACACTTGTGAAAGTTAATCCAGATGGATCCATGGCTCGTCTGGAAGCCCGGTTGGTAGCCAAAGGATATGCTGAGACTTATGGGGTCGACTACTCCGAGACATTTTCTCATGTGGATAAGGTACCCTTCATCCGTCTGTTTATTTCATTAGCCACAATTACAACTGGGTACTACACCAATTGGATGTGAAAAATGCCTTCTTGCATGGTGATTTACATGAGGAAGTTTATACGAAGCAACCACCTGAGTGGTGTGGGTGTGTTGCTCAGGGGGAGTTTGGCAGAGTCTGTAAACTACGTAAATCATTATATGGCTTAAAGCAATCCCCTCGTGCTTGGTTTAGACGGTTAATGTTGTAGTGACCGAGTTTGGCTTATGGAGGAGCTCTTTTGATCATTCTATTGTTCTTTACTTCGTTCTCTTCTGGATGTATTCTACTAGTGGTGTACATTGATGACATTGTGATTACTGAGAGTGATGAAACTACGATCAAGAAGCTGAAATTCCTTGTGTCTCGGTTTCAAACAAAGGACCTAGGTCCTTTAAAATACTTCTTGGGAATTGAAGTATCTCGTACTCGGAAGGGATTTGTTTGTCTCAACGAAAATATTGTTTGGATATATTGAATGACTCTAGAATGATTGAAACAAAACCTTGTGAAGCCCCAATGATTCCAAATATGAAATTGAAAGCAGACAATGGATATCTACTTGAGGATCCAAAAGAATACAGAAGAATTGTCGGAAAGCTAAACTACCTGACAATTACACGTCCTGCCATCGTTTTTCCAGTGAGTGTTGTAAGTCAGTTTATGTCATCTCCAAGAACACCACATTGGGACGTTGTTGGGCATACACTAAAGTACCTAAAAGATTCCCCTAGCCTTGGCATCCTTTACCAAAATCATGGTCATCATGTCATAGAAGGATTCACAGATGCCGACTATAATGGGGACCCTACGAACACGCGGTTTACAGCAAGCTATTATGTGTTGGTTGGTGGGAATCTAGTTCCACGGAAAAGCAAGAAACAGAATGTCGTTTCTCGGTCAAGTGTTGAATCTACAGCAGGCTCTTTTTCTAGATTTCTTGCCTATATATATCCTTGTACTTTCATTGTAAAATATAAGTTCAGCAATAATATAATCTCTTATTACAAACTACAAAAGGTGGGGGTTGTGGGCATAGACATTTGAATATATGAAACCTAACACCATTGACAGTAACAACAACTGTAAATGTAACCCAAAAAATCCATTACGCCTCTCACAGAACTAGCACCAATGCCATAGCCTCTAAAAAAATTAAATCCTTTAGTGTCATCTCACCAATTACATCCTACTGACTCGTCATCACATCTATAGTGAGATGACTTGTTTACATTATTCATTGTATGTTCCAGTGAATCTATCTAAATATACACAAAAGAACCCTTGGCTATCACCATCCCATCTTCCGCAATTTAATCCGCACAGTAAGCCAAAGGTCTCCATCCCTAGAAAATAGCCTATGAATACCTCTTTTATATATATGCATGCAATGGCAGTTTGTAAGAACTCGCTTATTGATTACAAAAATGAGATTCTCCTAGCTCTCACGAATCATCATATCAAGAAAAAAAGATCATGCTTACTGTAGAATTAAAACATTCAACTCCTAGTAGTAGACTTGAATTATTGGTGCTCATAAAAATGTACCGATCATCAACAAAGCTATATCTTGAGAGAAAAAGAAGTATTGAAGTTATTTTTTCTCATTCTTATATTCTTTTATACAGTTTTCCTATATCATTTAAGAAGCATGCAAATTATAGGAGATAACATAGAAAGAAAACTCACGTATTTATCAGCCAAAGATCTGCTCCTTCTGCATTGTCACTGATAGCATAGCCAAATGCTGAAAGTTGGCCGGCCATGTACTCACTATCACTCTGACAAACACAAACAAACTGCTCAAGAGGATGATGGGGAGGAAATAATCTTCACAATGTACTTTTACTTTACAGTAGAAACTCGATATAAAATAGAAAAGGTAGTTTGATACAAACATTTTCAGACTACAAATGGAGTTGACACCTAATAACTACAATACTTGCCATAAAAACAATAATGGAAACCTTACTTAGAGCACTGAAAATCCAATTGGTTTAACCAACAATGGCAACGCTATCAGAAACTACAAAAAGTTCTGCAAGAAAAAGAGTTTCATATTCATATTTACCACTTACAGGACCATCTTATACATGAATCGAAGAATAGCCTCAACATGATTCATGCAAAACAAAACACACAAGAGATGAACATGGTTTCCGCAAAATTAGTTCAATTTGCACACACCAAACTTTTACAAAATGTGCTTGTAACTTAGTTCCACATTCTTATAGCAGATAGAAGCATGCAATGTGGTAAATTGGCACAACATTTTTTCTGTCATCTGTCATCAGCAAATTATGAATGCTTGACCAAAACTGCAAACCTTTATACCAAATGCTCAACGCTACCTACAAATCTAGGAAATGAAAACTCTTCATTTCACATGTTAGATTATGCTTCATATTGTATGAGAAAATAGTTTTTAAGAAAGATTCCATTTTAGTGGCAAATAACTTAACCAAATTTTGCATCTCTTTCACTAACAACAAGTACCTCTATTCCATATGTACACACATATGCGCATAAATCAATTTCATAGTCAGCTTGATCAAATGGTAAAATTTTCAGGTGTGAAACTTTTGTGGGTTCTAACCATTTTGTAAAAGAAATGACAATTACATTAAACTTTATAGCAAGTACTACATATACAGAAAGACATTGGTCGTATAGTAGTAATATAATCCTTATGAACTTGGTATCAGAAAAGAAGTCCTAGGTTTAACATCAAATACTGCAAATGCATTTCTCTTTCTTGACTCTTTTTCTAACATGTGCAGCATCTATCCTTGATCATTGTAAATTATCAGTGGGCAACGAACCAACTAATACGTGCCATGGAAAAGGATAAACATAAGACTAAAAATTGAACCTGGTTATGCGAGCACCCAAATGTCTTCAAAAAAATCGTCTGCAAGATTAGGAGATAGCAAATAAAAAAAGTAAAATCAGTTAGAGCAGATGGGAGAATGAAAGAAACCATGGCTCAGAATATGAATACAGAAAGAAATCCAACCTGGGTGCCAGGGACTTGACATGTCGAGGAGTTTTGAAGCAAAGATGATGGCTCTAGTTTATTACTTTTCTTCTTCTTCATTGGATTTATTCCAACGGCGGCTGTAATGGGTAGTCGGAAACCTGGTGGAGCTGCGCCACCACCGACCAACAAATCCTCGATGTCTTCCATGTCCCCGGCGACACTAGTCTGTGGACTGTAGGTGTGAGAGGAGGGAGGGAGGGAAGGAAGAGGCGAATTCGTTGCACGGCGATGATAATTGTCCTCCGGATGCGCTGGGCTCATAGCAACGATGAAAGCCCAAAAATGAAGTGGTTTTGGACCCAAGAGCATTCACTGCAATGACACTTCTTTCCTGCGAGTCACTGCACAACAATATTCTCGAAGGTTGGGTTGTATGACAGTTATTGAATGGTTTTATGCAGAATCATTAAGAGGTTGTTTATCAACAAGTACCGGTAAGCATTGTTTGAAATAAGAGGTCTGATTACAGTAAGCATCTCTGACTGGGGTAAGGGTTTGTAAAAAAACTTATCAAGTATTCTGGATTTGGTGCTGACTAATAAAAAATGACCATTATAATCCTATATGTGATGAAGTGGTTAAGCTAATGCAACTATCTACCAAATATTATGCATGAATAATTGTTGACATGGCAAAAATACAAATTTTATAATTGAAATATATTTAGACAGGAAAATAAAATGAATTTAAACATAATAATTGTCGAACATATCTTAATTTAAAATATCAAACAATAATTGATTTGCAAACTGATCACGCACACTCGTCATATATTCACTGTCTTAAGAACTCCACTGCATTTCATCGACTTCTATTTCATTGCTTACTTTATGTTGTTCTTCAACAACGGTAAACATGGTGTTCTCATCGTGTTCCATGAATAATTGGTCTTGAATATTGCATTTTCTTATAAAGTTATGAATCACAAAACAAACAATCACCACATCCTTTTGTATTGGAAAATGATGAGTCATTTGTTTTAGGATTGGAAATCTTGCTTTTAAGACAACATACGCACACTCGATTACATTTCTAAGTTGTGCATGAGCATGATTGAACATTTCTTCTTTTGTTAATGCATGTCTACGTCGAAAATCTGCTAACCAATACCTCATATTGCGATACGGAGTCATAAATCCATGGGTACAAGTATATGCGACATTACAAAGACAATATTTATCTATAATTACACCTACAACTTAAAAAATATGGATTAATAACCTTTTAATGCTAAGAAAATTATACTTACTTGACGAAGGAAACGGAAATCCTGAAGTTGGGTTAAATGCAACTTCCCTCAAAACTCTAGAATCATGTGCAATATCTTCTCATCCGGCCCATACAAACGTGAATATCATATTAAAATCACAAATGGCTAGAACATTTTGGTAGCATTCTCCTCTTCATCTTCCTCTATATCTTGTTTGTTGATCACTAGCATAACTGCATGTATCAGGGTTCCATCTATTACACCTATAGCCTCCTTTAAAAAACATCAACTATAAGAAAAATGTAAAAAAATATCAAAAACATTTAGAAATTATCAAATCAATAACATAAATCATACCGGAAATATTTTTTTGAGGTGCCTAAATCTCTCTGATGTGTTTGGTGTTCCGTCAATCGATGTTGGCCCAACAAGAGATAAATCAATACCAACAAGAGATAAATCGATACCTGAAATTGACTGCAACAAGGGATGAAATCGACCGCAACAAGGATGAAATCGACAGAAATAGGGAGGGGTGAGGATGAAATCGGGAGGGGTGAGGCAATGGCTGTAGGTCGATTACTGTAGGGAAGGCGATGACTGTAGGTAAGGCGAAGAAGGAGGAAAGTGATAGAAATAGGAAGGGGTGAGGATAAAATCGGAAAAAATCAAGGAAAGGATATGCTGATTGTGATCGGCGTTGACTTTGGGGCTGACCGAATCAAGCCTGGAAAGAGGCACGATCAGACCTACTTAATGAAAAAGGAGATAAGTAAACAACCAACCTCTTAATTAGGTAAGAGCTTTTTATTGGGTAAGAGGTAATAAGGGCCAAGTAAACAGCCTTAAGTGGTCAAAATGATTAAGAGGTTTCTCATGATATAATGCAAAATGAAATATAATTGTTTAGTAATTGTTTACAATGGAATTAAGGCTCTTAATGGTCAAGGGAGGTCGATGATACAAAATCATTCAGATGATTTTAGAACCATTAAGAGCCAGACTTTTTTTTTTGCCAAACAAGATTCACTTCTTAACAATTCAGATGTTGTCTCTTAATGAAACTACGAAGAGGTAAACAAGTCTTTTACTAGTTAAGCGTTTATTAGATAACAATGTTCTTCTTTATTTATCCGGTAATATTTTCGGTCCTTGCAAACTCTCTTATAGAGTAAGGGGATTTTAGTTAGCATGATGGAATTAGGTTGAATAGAAATCCATTAAAGGAATTTGACTTTGAAAAAATGAAATGGAATTTTGCCACACTTTTGATTGGTAGGAATTGAAATGGAATATGAGGAATTGGAATCTCCGACCTTTGTTTGGAGGGAGGGTGGGGTGGTAGTTGTGACAATGATAGTAGTGGCATGAGTGAGAGGGTGGCAGTTGTGAGTTTATGACAACGATATTAATGGCATGCTTATATTAGTGGTCGGAGATGGGGGTAGGTAGGGTGGGTGGGGTGGACAATTGCGATGACGACAGTAGATTTGGAATTTGGTCAAGGAATGATGAATTCATTATTTTGTGGAATTAAAAGGATTCTATATTTTCATGATGTGAACCAAACATAAGATTTGGAATTTGGTCAAATGAATTATCCCTATCAATTCCTTCAAAATCCATGAACCAAACACCCTTAAGATTCTTTATCCTTATTAGATTCAACCGGTAAGGTAAATGACGTTAAGTGCTTACCCAGTCAGCGAAACAATTTTAAGTATTCCATATATTTCATGATAAAAATAGCATACAGTTTAAAAATATATGTAATTATTACATCTTTTTAATTAAGGGAAAAGTCCAAAAAAAAAAAATCAATGGACTTTTGTGTTTTGAGATTGATTTATATGGTTTGTTCTAGTTGTTGAGTTTGTAAATGAAACCAACTCTCTTTATATTTATATAATACATTATATCAGTAAATAGAGAAAAGTGCACGAATATGTGAACCAACTTTCACTTGATTCCTGTTTCCAGGAACCAACTTTAAAAAGTGTTATTTTAGGGTCTGAACCAAATTGTACATGTATTTGAGGGCCGATTTACATGTAGCAGGTAATCAGTTACCTTAGTATGATGTGGCATTATTAATTAAAAAAATATTAAGGCCACATCATTAAATAAAAAAAAACAAACACGTAACATATTGGACAGATAAATTAAAACCAAACGTCCACTTTGTTCTCTCCTAAGTCTCCTCCACTCCCATCCCCATCACGCTCCTCCTTTCTAGTCGCCATCTTGTCACTGTCCTCGTTGCACCATTGCTTCCTCAAGATTGGTTTCATCTTGTATACACGATGAAGGAGCCACAAAGATTTTGTGCAGAGATAGTCCCCTACGCCGGTTGGTTTGCTGGAGCCATTGAAGGTTTAGTTATAGAGATGATGGAGAAGGGAGACGATATAGGTGTAGTTATGTCGTAGATGCAACTTTGTAGATTCGTCGTAGTTGGAGAGGGGTTGGAGCTGTGGACTTTCTTTTTAGGGGGCGACGAGCTTAGCTTTTGTGGGTGTTGTTTTAGTTGAAGGTTTTTTGTTCAATTTTTATTCTTTAGTTGTTTAGTTTTTTAATCTTATTTTTATGCATATTATAAAGATATGTATACCAAGGGGTTGTTTGGTTCGTTTTCTGTTAAGACCGGTATGGATAAAGTTGTCTGTGTGATAACAGATAAATTATTGTTTGCTTGTTGTGCTGAATAAACAATCTAAATGTCATAAATTGTTACATGACAGTCTTTAACTTTCAAAACTATATAATAGAAAAAGTTTTTTAAGTGTATTAATTTCTTATTGAATTAAAAATATATGAAAATGATGAGTAGATAAATTATTTTTTGGTTTAAAAGAACATTTTTTTTAATATTAATTATTTTATAATTTAACATTAAAGTTTAATTGTCAAATAGAAAATTGTGTAGCATGTCATAGTATTAAATGACACAATTTTTAATACGTAAAGTATTATACATTTATGCATAAAGTCTTAAAAACAACTCATAATGTATTAAATACTAATACTTTATGCAATTAATCTTAAAATCTTTTAATCTACAATTAAAATAACATATAGTACAAGTCACAATGCACATTATTGTCTTTTCTTTTCATGTTCCTAAGATACTTTTAACACCTTTCATTTATGCTTTCACCCTCTCATCCCCATCCCCCAAAAGTGAGATTCAGACTAACATTCACTATGAGTTATTAAAAGTTATATCATTCATCTCCAATTCAGTTGCTCTAAAACTCTCGGTCTCGATCTCTTAATTCTTTTTTTTAATTAACCTGGATATCCAACTCGCTATGCTAGCCGACTAATCTCAGGGTGACCACCTGCTCTTGGTGTATATCGAACACATATATGGAGTCGTTTAAATATATTGGATTCTAAATATATTGGATTCTAAATATATTGAATTTTAAACTGTCATACAATTTTTTTCATCAATAGACTGTAATTGAAACCATAACTTTTATTTATCCAAATTATATTAATATGTAAGGGAAAATTGCACCAAAATGGAACCAACTTTCACCTGATTCCTATTTTGGATAACCAACTCTCAAAATCGTCATTTTGGAGAGCTAACTTGCACCTAATTCATATTTTGGGGAACCAATTTGCAAAATAATTATAGAAAAATAACTAAAATTCATTTTTTTTCAAAAATTAATGCAATAAAATCTATTTTTCATTTCAAATCTCGTTTTTTTAAAATTCAGATATCAAATTGAAGTTTTTTCCAAAAAAAAATGCAAATTACCACAATAAAAAATTGTTTTTTACTAATGCAACAAAAAATCAATTTAATAGAAAAAAATTAATTGATGCAATAAAAAATAAATATTAAATATCACATTCAATATTTTTATATCTAATCAATCCGTATCAATATTAAAGTTTAAATCAAATTTGGCAAATCAAACAAAAAGTTTGATAGAGACCCTTAAATTACATGTTACCTGTTCAACAGATCAACCAGACCCTTAAATAAAAATGACGATTTTGAAAGTTGGTTCCCCAAAATAGGAATAAGGTGAAAGTTGGTTTTATTTTGGTGCAATTTTCCCAATATGTAAAAATCAAGTGTAACTTATATTATCGTTAAATTTTCTCTAATAAAACCAGTGAAACTTCAAAATCGTTAAAATTCACGACTTCCGCAGCATTGTGCGGGTACACAACTAGTTATTTCAGATTTGTATTTGAATTTTAAATATAACACGATATATTAGTTGATACTAACTTGAATAATGCCATTTTTATCACGTAAAAAAGTCAACTATACCCTTAAATATACATAGATCCTTAAATGCATGTAAAGTTTGGTTCAAATTCTGAAATGATAATATTGAAAGTTGGTTCCAAAAATAAAAATAAGGTGAAATTTGGTTTCGTTTTGATTAATTTTCCCCGGTATGTAATAATATTAACATATTATATGAATATACTATTTTAAGTGAAAAAGCAATAGGGGCTGTTTGGCAGTTGCTGAATGATTTAGTGCAGAATAGTTAAGAGGTTAGAATGGTTAAGAGAGTCATAATGGTTAAGTGCTGGATGAAATAATGTTGTTTGGTAACTGTTCTCTAAATGACGATAAATTACCATTTTAACCCTCTGAATGATTTAGTACTGAATGAAATAGAGCTGTTTGACAGACATCTGAATAAAACAATTATTTTACAAATATAACTACATATTACCATTTTACCATGTTAGGATGTATCATCACGATTTCACAACCAAGTTATGCATATACAGCAAAATCGTGATGCAAATACCCATTTATCAACAATCTTACCATGTTAGGATGTATCATTATGATTTCACAACAAACAGACCTATGCATATACCCATGATGTATCACCAAGTTATGAACAAGCTTACCATGTTAGGATGTAACAAAATCATGATGTATATACAGCAAAATCATGATGCATATACCCATTTATCAACAAACAGACCTATGCATATACCCATTTAAAACGCATCCTACAAATAGCCCTAATTACGAGCCCTAATTAACAAATAGCCTTAATTAATCTGGTAGAGGGAAGCAGTAGGGGAGGCGATGAAATACCGGAAAAGGAAGGTATAGGAAGCAGTAGGGCCGGCGACCGGAGGAGCAGACCGGCGAAGCTGTGGAGGGGACCGACAATGGCGACCGACGATGGCTGTGGAAGAAGACGACCGGAGATTTGTTGGAAGAAGGCGACCGGAGACCTGGAAGAAGGCGACCGGAGACCTGCTAGAAGAATGCGACGTGAGACAGCGACCGTGTGACCTGCTGGAAGAAGAACACCGACGATCGTGTGTGGGGGGAGCGATTTGACCGTCGATCCTGTGGGGGGGGAGCGATTTGAAGACCAGCCATGGTGTGAGGAACGCTAGTGTAGAGAGTAGAGAGGGCAAACTTGGAAAAATAGAAGTCTGAATAGTTTAGGTAAGCCTTGGATGCAAAATGGTTAAGAGGGTAATGTAATCATTAAGAGACATTTTTTTTTGCCAAACAACCATTACCACTTACCGATTAAGAGGTGACATTAAGAGCCAAACAAACAGCCCCTTAAATACCTTTCAAGTAACCATCTTTTGACTAACAGAGTTAGTATCAGGGAAGGTTTTAAAGTAAAATGCAAATCATGGTGGTATTTAGGGACTGATTGGTAGTTGCTGAATATTTTAATACAAAATGATTAAATTGTCATAATAATTAAGAGTCTCTCATGATATAGTGCAAAATGAAATATAATTGTTTACAATGAAATTAAGACCTTGAATGATTAAAGAAGATCCATGATACAAAATCATTCAGAAATATTTAAAACCATCAAAAGACAAAAAATTTTTATTAAAGGTTAATAAACAACCTCTTACTATACTTACTGGGGTTTAAGAACATTGTTCGTAGTTGGTGATAAACCACAGGGACCAAAATTGTGTTTACTCTCTTATTTATATGACGTGTTTTGTTCTGATTGGACCACATCGCCTACACATCTGGCTGCTTATTATTGGTCAAGAAAACATCAACGTCTGCCAACTCAACGGTAAAACAAGATTTGAAGATGGGTATCATCCCAACTTAAATTTAGCCCCAAAGGTTTCCTCATCGAACAACACGATTCTCCCTCACCTCGATCTTTTGGTTCGGAGCGAAATCACATGCTTCTCTCCGAATCAGTAAGATCAATAGAGCAATGATTCGTCGCAGAAGTTGTTGGACATCGGTGATCGTTTTTCTGTTAATATCTCCAACAATCTTAAAGCCATCCATGTCCGAAGTCGATTACGGTTTGTCAGCTAAGAGGAGACGCATGAGTGAGAAGGTTCGCAGGATGTAAGTCAACTCCACCTCGAATTCCCACTTTGATTTTCTTTTTACATTGAATTGGATTGGTTTGGAGGGTTGGTGCTAGAATTGAAGTTTAACAGGTGAAAGTGAGAGAAATTTTTCTTGCTTAAGTTGCTTAGTTGGTGGTGCATATATTGGGGGTATTTAGGTGTACCTCAGTCACTGTTTGTGGTAAAAATAGGCCCACATTCAGACATTTAGATTTTTTTTAGGTTACTAATTAGGAAACTTGTAGAGAGATTGAGAATGGTTATATAAATCCAGTGTTATAGCTTGATTTTAAGGAGGCCGATTTCAAATATTTTTTTTGGAAAGAGGGGAAATTGAGGAGGGTTAGCACTTAGCAATGTAAGTTTTAATCAACCTACTTCATTGCTAAGGTGATTTGCATTTTGTAAACTTTCAGATCAAATTTCCCAAGCAGGTTACTTTATAGAATCTTTGTATCTTGCACGAGCTCTCTTATTTTTCTTGGCATAATACTGGTTAATTCTGGCATTTGGCTAGTTAGGTCGCATCTGAATGTACTTTTCTGGCTGCCACCATGTGTTTTGGACGTTCATCTTATCATTGAAGTGACATAGAAATGCTAAAGTCTTGTCTTTTTCTGGTTGTTGGCAAAAAAGAGTAATTAAAAACAACAGTTGTGCTGTGTTTATTGCTTAGAATTGCAAAAGCCTTCTGTCTTTTATTGGTTGTCTGGAAAGTGTTATTAAAACTAACAGTTGGCTGTGTTTTATTATGTAATTAACTATCTTATGAATTATTTAGCTTTTGCTTTATTCATGAGAACTGATAATCTTGTACTGCTCTTCCTTAATTTGCTTCTTAAGTTTTTTAGGTTGAGTATGTAGTAGTACCTATGACACTTTATGTTTAAAGTACATAGGATGTAACACCCCAAGATCCACATTTGCATATAACCAGGTATTTCAAATATCAAGAAATACAAATTTACACTTCGGTCCCAATATACAAAAGCTACATAGTAGCTACCAAATTTTTTCCACAAAATCTCTATACAAAACTTGTACTCATAAACAACATGCAGGTACAAGTAACATCACATTATCCCAAAATCCATATGCAGGTAATCATATATTTCTTCATAAATTTCCCTCTCCCCTTAACAACTGGTTGCCTGACTCGTAATGCACATTTTAAAACACCAAAATGAGGGTCAGACCTTGAGGTCTAGTGAGAAATCCCCTTTATGCAATTACAGGGTGAAAATCACCAAATCAAGTTTATAAATATCTATACTATATAATAAAGCATTTGACAAAAACTCTTAAAACCCATTTTTTATACATAAAATACTGTTTATTAATGCATGTTACTTAAAACTCAAGATTACAAGTAGATTGTGCGTAAGTACAACTTTTTAAAGCTCCATATCTAAATTCGTGTAACTAACTGCAGATAAACATAATAAAATACAGGATAAACATCTCATTTTAAATATAATTAGGATAATTATTGAGTTATAACAGAATACTTAATTATTATCTTT